TAGTTTGCTGACTAAAAGGCGAGTGTACTGTGCAGTAGTTCGCTCCGTCTTACTTTATGGCTGTGAAACATGGCCAGTGAGAGTAGAAGATATTCGTAGGTTACTGGTTTTCGATCATAGGTGTCTTCGAAGCATTGCTCGTATATCGTGGGACACCGAGTGAACAACACTGTTATTAGGAAACGGGTGCTAGGTAAGAATGGCAGATCAATAGTTGAAGTGGTGCAAACTTTACAGTTGAGGTGGTTGGGACATGTGTTGCGTATGCCCTAACCACCGACTGCCTCGTCGCGAGCCTTGTTTGTGTAGTGTAGGAATAGGTTGGAAAGAAAGTTAGGGGCGGGCCAAACCAAAACATGGCAGAAATCATGAAGTCATTGACGATGGACTGAGCCATGTCGGTAACTGTCGACTACCTGGTTGGGGTCCGCGAGATGATAATATCGATGGTTAGAGACTTGATGACATGGCTCAAAATCGTTCGCAATGCGCCGTCATTTATCTTTGTGTTCTCTCAGATCATAGGTGTCTGTCTTCGAAGCATTGCTCGTATATCGTGGGACACCCGAGTGAGCAACGCTGTTATTAGGAATCGGGTGCTAGGTAAGGATGGCAGATCAATAGTTGAAGTGGTGAAACTTTAACAGTTGAGGTGGTTGGGACATGTGTTGCGTATGCCTAACCACCGACTGCCTCGTCGAGCCTTGTTTTGTAGTGTAGGAATAGGTTGAAAGAAAGTTAGGGGCGGCCAAACCAAAACATGGCAGAAATCCATGAAGTCATTGACGAGTGGACTGAGCCATGTCGGTAACTGTCGACTACCTGGTTGGGGTCCGCGAGATGATAATAATCGATGGTTAGAGACCTTGAATGACATGGCTCAAAATCGTTCGCAATGGCGCCGGTACATTTATTCTTTGTGTTCTCTCAAATCCTAATCTTCTGGATTCTTCAACACCTCTAGTTTTGACTTTCTAAACTTTTCTCATTTAATCACACTTCTTGAATAATATCTTCTCATCCTAACCTCTCCGAATACTTCTAATACCCTTACTAACTCTTCTACTATTGGATTTGAATTGACAATTATATCTCTGTGCTGATGTGGTATGGCGGCGTGAAGTGATGTACTTACGTTCGAAGTTCTACATTGCACCTGACTGACTGACTGACTGTGTTCTGATGCGGTTTTGTACCTTGAACTATTCTACCTAGTTAGGTAGTTCTATAGTGCTGCCTACTGAGCTCTTTTTTGTTCTTCCCTCTGGTGAATCTCGAGTCTTATTCTAATCACGATATTAAGGATTTGCATATACAATTTGTTCAGCCACCAGTTCTCTTTCGATCCTTCTTTGGTGGCAGCCATTTCACAGAAAAGTCCTTTGACTAAGAAAACTTTGTATAACTTTTAACTTGTGTGTATAGTTGTGATGAATGTGCTGAATGTAAATTCACGTTACTCTTCTCGAAATTTTAAATTTCGTTTTTCAGCCCTAGATTAACCTCTTTTTTCTTCACTTGATTTAATTTGACAGATTCCTTGGTCTTAATTCATGGAAACACTTCCTGTTGTTAATTAACTTGCTAATCATGACCAATCTATGCACAGTAGTGGCTGACTTTGAATTACTGCTCAGTATAGTGTTCTGCTCATAATCATCTAAGAAAAGTTAGAGTATTGCATTTAAGCATTTACATCTGCTTCGCTTATGAGCCTATTTTTCCTGCGATCTTTCGAATTGATTTGGCACTCCTGTGTATTTATTGTCGTTCACAATTTAGAGTGGCATAAACCCATATATTGCAAATATTTCAAACTTGTTCTCTAGGGGCATTTCATCAATTTCAATTGTGTTTTCCCGATCTTTCTTGACTTCTGTACCTGCCTCTTTGGAACTAATTAGCCTTTAGTCCTTATATATTGTAATCTTGAGTGGTATTATTTACTCCTAAAGCCGATTGTTACTATTATTTTTTATTATTTGAAGTCTTGAGCCTGCAACAAACAATTGTACATATAAGTATTTTCACTTCTCCATTTCTTCACATTTCCTTTTACTGCCTGTTTGTCTTTTCATCATATTGTTCACGTAACATAAACTTTCAGATTACTAATGATTATATTTTACTTTATTGCTGATCATTAATCACTTATTATTATTAATTCGACACGCATCTACTTGCGATTTCAAGGTGTTTTTCAACATGACTACCAGTTTACTTTTAAATGTATACTACTGATAGCATAGGGGATGTAAATATTGCCATTTTCAGCCAATACGATTTAGATATGTTCACTGTTCACTGTCTTTGTTTTCATACTGAACTAGATTAGTACACTTGGATAATAATCATTTTAATTAGTTCATGATTGTTAATTCATGATATTTTGTACTAGAATATTGTAGTGACAATATTTTTTAAGCTGTTTATGTACTTGTTTATCCCTGAATAATAATTTACGTATCCCAAGCATTTTAAAAATTTATTTTAATTCACAAAATTACAATTTCCACCTTACAGTTCAACTTTGTTATTTATGTTATTTTCTAGCTCTGGATTTGATTCAATATTTGTTAGAATCCTTACACATGAGTGCTGTATCTGGTTGCATATTTTTGTAATTCTCTCACTGATTTTTCTCATCACTATCCATTTATTTACTTATCTGGTAAAAAGAATTGGATTTTTCTCTAGAAAAAAAATGAATTTTTTCAGATGAAAAATCAATCCTATGAATTTTCAACAAATTATCATCTACCAACCAGTTATAATAACATTCATAACAATACTATCCCGATTATTAAAACTAAACTTCATGATGATACTAATCACAGCATTAGTACAAATAACAATGTTAATATTTCAGCATTTAATCAATGGCTGTTTAATCAATCTTCGTTTGATATTCCACAATCTTTAAGCAATCTTGTGATTCCTTCAGTTTGTACAGCACGTAAACTTATTTGGTGCAATCAAAAGGTACATAGAATTATTTTTATTCAATTATTTACTGAATTGGATTTTTTATCTTGATAGAATGAGTAATTTATTAGGAAGATTATATAAGCTAGTTTACGAGATTGTTCAACAGATAGGTGGTTAGTTATTAAGGTAATTTTTAATCAGATTTTGATGAAAGAATTTAACTCTTGTGTCTGTTTTAGTTTACAGTTATTCTCTGTGTGTGTGTGTGATCGATCCAGAAGTCAGTCTTTTCGCTTTCACTAGTGTTTCACAAAATTAATTATTCTTACTAAATAACCTTGCTAAAATTTAGCATTTACTCGTATGTGACAATAATTGATACATAACATAATTCTTCATGAGTTAAATATTATTCACTGAAATTTTCCTACAAATAGAATAGCAAATTTAGATTATTACAGTCCTATCTAGATGGTAATATCTCTTGTCATAAAGTTAAAGGTTTCTTTTTTTCAAAGATTAAGTGTTAGACTGATAATTTTTTCCTCAATTCAAAAAATCCCCAGAATCTATGGATCGTAATCAATGTAGTCATCTGTCATTCTAAATTATGTTAATTAGACTTAACACTGTACACTTCATTGTTGTAGATTATTCACCTGTTGTCCATTGGATTATAAAATCAAACACATTCTACCTACTTGGTTTTATACAATTATGTAGTTTCACTAGTCGTCACTCATTCTATGTAGATAATTATTCATCTACCCACGTGTTAGATATCAGCTGTAACATTATTTTTGTGTAGTGCATTGACTAATAATGGTAATCAAAGCATTCATTAAATTTCTTCATCTTAGAAAACATTATTGGTGATAAGCAAAAGTTTAAGGTAAACCTGAGTTAAATTTTGTGACTACTTACTAGTCAGATTTCTATTTGCAATCTAAACTATATTTTAACAACTACAGCTCTTTTCTACGACTAAAACAAACACATCTTGTCAAACATTAGTTAGTTATTTCGAAAAAATATAAGCAGTTAAGCCGTTGCGTTTTATAGAAAGATATGTTTTCGTGTTTTGGAGGATATGGTTGTATGTAAGAATTATTTACTATTTCCAAAACTGGTGTGATTCTTTTTTTTCTGTACATTGCAAAGTTTCTTCATTAAATAATTTTTTTGAATTAAATTAAAAGGAAGTTGCTGAACTTTTGCTAGGAGCATGTGTACATTCAGACTGGCTTTCATCAGTTGTTCATGTTCGGTAAGTACATTCGAAGTGTCCATAATTCTGCTTAATGAATCAACATCCGTTTAATTATATGAGGCGCACACGTTACGTAAGCGGTAATAGTACCCTATAGTTGCATGAGCTAAAGTACTATTCACAGTTCGGCCTATTTTATTAGGTGTTTTTGTTCAAATTCCACACAAAATATTCATCGTCCCAACATTGTGCATTATTTTCTCTCATCAGTGCTACCTAACATAAAATCTATGTTTAATTCTTCTTACTGATTTCTTCCAAACATTTGACAGTTTATAACCTCCCGACCGTAGCTGCTACCTTGACGTAGTGGTCGGGCTTGACTACCGTGATGACCCGACCGAGCCATATTGGCTGGAACTTATGTTCCTGAAGGTTCTACCATGCCAGGCAGGTCGATTGGAGAGCGATGAGACTAAAAGCAGCTACTCAAGGTCTGAGGGCGAAGTCGTAATGCTGACTGCAGAGGGGTGTGACAGCAGTAAGGTGTTTTCCTCGGGAAACCAGCATGTGCAGCGATGCTGCCTTCTCACAAGGAAGGGAGGGTTAGAAAAGGTCGACCATAAAAATGTCACACGTCACCCTACCGCACAGATTTCCGTCTCCTTGGGTAAGGGCTGCCCAAAAACGGCTTTCAAGAGCGGAGCTAATCCTCAAAAAGCGTTTCATCAAAAGGCCGTGCGTGACCGGCCCCGAGCAGTTGTCCGTTGGACTCTGCGATCACGCACCCAGGTCTCTAAGACCAACACTAATCTATCTTCCTTTTCAGGTCCCTCAAGAAAAAACCTTTCACGCTGTGGGCAACCGGGAACTGACAACCGCCCTCATACCCGTACCAGCACACGAGACCGAATTCGTCAAAACCAAATCATTCCTACACCCCCTAGTACCTCTCTTATCTCCACAGTTTATCACCTCATTAGTCAGAGTTTTAACCACTCTTGAGAAATGTATTCAGTACTCTAAAGGTTATAGAGTGCAGTTGTTGTTGTCGACACATCGAAGTTACTTGCTGAACCACGGTCGGGCATTTAATCATCTGGCTGTCGTGTGAAAAAGGGTTTTGTTATAAATTAGAAATGTAACAGTTTAAAGTTCGAATAGCCTACCTTATGTTTTATACCGTTAGTGACTAGGTCTAGTTACTAATTTACATGCGAACATAGAATTCGAGCTTTGTCCAACATTGGTTATTATTATGTTTTATGGATAAAAGAGGATAAAACTCTTCGAAAACTAGTCAAAGCACTGGTTTAAGTAGTTAATTACTCGTTTTCATTTATTTTATTTCGAAGGTAAACGTTGGCTGCAAACACAATCCTATCACTAGTTTTTCATTCATTTTTGCTTTCAAAATACATCTGCAGTTTCTTGTCATTTCTTTATGGGTATTTATACATATATTTTGTAAGCTACTAATGAATATATTTAAATTAACAAGGACCAACACGTGACTACAAAATTTTAAGATTAATAATTTTATAATATTACATCTTGTCTAGAATAATTTTTCTACTATTCATTGAAATCTTTTAAAATAGTCCTAGAAATGGTTCTATTATTTTCTACCGACGAGAATTGGCCACCGTAGCACGTAAACAAGATGGATATTTATGGAAAAAGAAACCAAATCGACGTACTACTAAAGAAATTCATATGGTTCTTAAAGTTCAAGGGATTGAGGTCAGTGTTGTTTATTTTTTTCCAGATAATAATAAAATTCACTAAACTTTGTTTTGTTTATTTCTTATTCATTAGTGACTTATATAGATTAGATAGAAAAAATTCATTCAATACTAAACAGCGCTCATCTATCGCTTTTTCTATTTACTTAACTAAGGATAATAAATGTGTTTAAGCCAATTTGCGCCAAGCTAGGTTGCATCTCTTACCATACTATATATATATATACCATAAGCTATATTGCTATATAGAGCTGAAGGTTTCCTATGAGACTAGAGGTTCATCATGAACATTGTGAGTGGTTTGGTACTACTTTGGCAAATTTTGCTTATAGTCCATACACAAAATTGGTTTACACGGTGATTGATTTCATTGATATTGGTGGTTGTCTTGCACCATTTTCATTGGGACGCTGTTATGCATATCACGATTGCTATTAATAATAAGAGTGACAGTCACGTAAGCGAGATGAATCGAATTGGCCTGTTCATACTGTGCATATATATTGACTTGATCATGGTTCGGAAATAATCAGTGCATGTATTGATGTATAGAAATGGTGTGATTCACTTATAAATAATGATGTTTTTCTTTCTCTCGGCATATTTTTCAGTGTATCATTGCAAACTATGCACATTCCGCTTTAATCTCTACATTTCATAGACGAACATATTCCTTAAGATTTGTAAGTTATCCATTTTTATTCGATTGGTTATCATATTGTCCAACTATATTTATTTTACATGTGCATGTTGATTAACAACTATTGTACTGTATTCCTCACTTCTTATCATTATTAAACATTGTTGTTTTACTAATTGTAAATTAAACCGATTTAATGTTATATAACAAACAAATCATCTCCTACAACGAAGCTTGATTTGATAGATTACTATCAATAAGTGGCGTAACGAAACAAATACTGTGTTCAGAAAATCGATTTTCTAATTCTTTGTTGGTGAATGTATAAAGGACAGAATCACTAATCAACCGATATATATATATATATATATATATATATGGCTTATTAACCAGGTGTGGATTTGTTTTTCTGACTTTGAGTCAGAGAGTGAGGGCTTGTATTACTACCTGATTACCCAAGTTAAGATAAATGCGTAGGGATTCAAACCAGCGATTAGTGGCTAAATTTTAAATGCCTTTACCACTGGCTTACCGTTCCATCATATGTGAATTTAAGCTGTAATTTATACTCAAATATTAAGCCACAATAATGTGTCAGTAAACTATTTGCCAGTTCATTATTGAAGTATCATAAATGAAAATAACGGTTATAAAATGATGAATGATTATTTTGCAGCTCAAAATCTATTAGAGATAAAAAATGTGTGAGTACATGTACACCATTAAGATCGATTCTGAGCCAACTGTGGATAACAATAATAGTGCGAAATACAAACCAGATTTTTTCCGTTTACCAACATAGCCAAGTCGAACAGCAAATAATGTGTATAATTCACTCTTGAAAATTCATTTTATCGATTGGGTTTGATTATAATAATGATCATTAATGATTTAGTCATTTCACATTCTAAGATTATCAATTTTCTTCGTATTCCTTTGTTCACTAACTTATATTACTACTACTGATTTCATTTGATAAACTAATGTTGATTGTTGTATTATTTTTCATTTCATAGAATCCCTCTATTGTATTATTTCATTATTTAAATGTACCCTTGTTAACTCATGAGAATAAACTTTGTTTACCATTACCTAATCTAAGTGAATATGATCGTAATGAATTGACTTATGCTCAACTTGTTGAACAATTAGTAAATATGTGTAAGTTTAATTTATTTTTATTTTCTCTGTTATTTTATTTTATGTATGATTAGGTAAGATTGATTATTGATTGTTATCACCTTCATCAGTTGTAGTTGTACAACGTTATGATTTCATTCTAAATTGGAATTTTATTCATTAAAATAAATTACGAACAATACTGATATAACTTATTTATCTTGAGAATTATTCTTTTGACTTATATAGACGTGTGTTTGTTAATTTATTCTATCGAGTGAATTTATCCCTAATTTTCCCTTAAAAAATTACCTAAGGTTCTATAGTTTTATAACAGTTAATGCATAAAAGCATTACAATATATTAAATATATATATATATATATATATATATATATATATATATATATATCATACTTAAACAAAAATATTTTTGTAACCAATTTATGCACTAACCCATTAACTGATTTGCAAAAAGAAACAGTGTTATGCAATAATTAGTGATTATTTATTTTAATGTTGTATAACAAAATTATTTTGTAAACAATAATTAAGGCAATAGCTTCATTTTATTACTTTATTTTGCCAAAGGAATAAACTATTTAAATAATTGTACTTTATGAGGTATATTTTTCTCCAGTAGCAAACAAAATCAAGATTTATTCTATTCAGGTCAACTAAATGACCTTCGGGTAATTGTAGTCTTGGGTAAATGTACACGATCGGTGAAAATTCATTTACTATGCATTTCATCTTCGTAAAACCTAGTTAGAACACATGACAGAATGCTAAGCATTTGCTATGAGATATAAATTCGATCCTTAACTAGCCCATATTGTTAACAGTTTCTATACTATGACTAAACATTTGTCGAATACTCCTTGTTACCGTAACTGAGGTCAATCTGTGACAACTACAATCTACAATTTAATAAGTTTGTTAAAATTTATTTTCCAGATAATTATAGGCGTAAAAAATTCGATAGGATCAAATTAATATGAGGTTATTTTCTGGCTATATTGTGGTAGTTGTTTAACCGATAACGTCAATCCGTAATGGAGACCAGATTCATAAATATTTCTTGTTATTTTTCGTTTTTATGGCTTATAACATTATCCCACTGAACGATTTTCACTTGCAAATGTATGAAACACTTTTATACAATGAATTTTTTTTGAGTTATAACAAATTGTTGAGGAAAACTTAGAATAGATGGATATTTTTTAAGAAGGCAAACATATGCCAACTATTAAAATTATGAAACAGTATAAATTATGAAATTGTTATTTCACTTTTGTTTTAATATCTTAAGTGAACCTATTTGATAATGTTTCATTCTCTGAGCGTTAATTTGGCAAACTTGAATAATTCTATCAGTATTCACATTTATTTGTAGTAGAAATTGATAATGTTGTCTAGGTTGACAATGAAATCGTCTCAATTAGACATGCCGTAAAATCATTTGCAATGACGCAAATGCTTCCATTTTTTGTACTTTCTCACTATCTAATCTTCTGAATTCCCCATGATCTTATTTCTCTTTTGAAATGTATTACACTAGATTATACTTCTTGAATCATGTCTTCGATCCTTAATCTTCTTCATCACTGCTAATACTTTTACTACATCTACCATTATGAGATTTGGATTGATAATTCAATCTGTGTGCTAATGTGGTATTCAAACTTGAACTGATGTACATACGTACGAAGTTCTACGTTGTAGCTGACTGACTGACTGACTGAATTAGACCACCCAATTCAGTGAATAAAAATACTTCAAATGTTCACTTTCAGTATTGTTTGAATTTAAGTTGTTAATATATCATAAACTGAATTACTTACTAAGTTTGTACATATTGGTTTTTCTGTTTCATTGTTTGATTGACTACACATTGAAATGCATATGTTGCTAAACTCTGTCAGGAAATAAAATTAAAAAAGATACAGTTTTATAAGTCATCAATATACTTTAGTTTGGTGGATAAAACTCATTTTCACTGTTAACAAATCATTAAGTTGTCTTCATTATACTTATATAAAGTAACTTGTACATCAAACTTATTATGTTGAAGACTAGTACTACCATGCTATACGATTATTATGTTTACACTATGATAAGCACAGCACTATTCAACACCCGATAAAGTAGTAATTAGGAATATTAAATGTAGATAATTAAGTATGTTTCCTCTTATTAAATTTATTTCTATATTCCTTTTTTTACAGTTAACAATTTCCCCAAACATATCTTGAAACCTGGTATTGATCAAATTTTAAATTTCGATGTAAGTTATCATTTATGTGGTTGTTTTATAAAATTAAATTTTATTCATCAAACTAATCATGTAATCATGACTTAATCAGGAGAACTGAATCTATCTACAAGATTGAACAATATGATTACTTGGATAGCCTGATTTAATCACTAGATCATTATGATATTGTATATTATTCCAAATAAAAAATATTTCATTTTCTTATTCTTATTTGTATCATCAAAATTCATTCATAGAATAAACTAATTACTTTCCAATTTATTTTAAAATATATCCACCTATGGTATCATAGGAAGACATGTTTTAACTTCAGATTAGCTTCTGTGAGTGTTACTTACTGGCAACTACATTTTTTTGTAGACAACTAGTTTATGTTTGGTGTGTTCACTAAATAAACGGACTCGATTCATAGAAATTTTATTTTATAAACTTTAAATCGCATCAATCTTATTCACAATATTTTAGTCCTATCTACGCTTCTATTGTTTAAAACATTCCGAAATATTGTCCTTCAGCTGCTCCATATGAACATGCTTTATTAAAGATGTGCACATGGATTATTTTCTGAAATTGAGTGCATGACCAATCATCTGGACAGTAGATAAACAACCAGATCACACAATGATCCTCAGATGTATGATATTTTCATCAGTACTTAATGTCTACTTTTATCTTTATTACGTCTGCCAAAGGACTTGATTCAGTTGAAAACAGATTTGTTCCTTAATAACATCATCTTCATATGCACCACTTGATATTCGACTAATCTCTTGAAACTTTTTTCTGGAGATGGTGGGAAGAGTTGGTAAATCAGGAAGATTATTCTGATAGAGTTCTGTTCTCTTTTCTGGATTATTTCGTCTTGACGTGTTGATTACCTTGTCAGACAAGGTAATAGAAACCTAATATTCCTCTAGTTTCCTATTGTATTCTAACTGAAAACAATCCCGTAATCATATACTACCTACAGATTAAAATATTCTCCACAAAATCACTACATCTAGATTTGAAAATTCATGAAAAGAACTTGATAAAATATTTTGAAAAAAGGGAAAAATTAAATAAATGATGCGAATCACAAATCAATTGGAATTCATATTATCTAATCATACAAGTTTTTTTTTTACATGAAGTCTATGCTGATAACTTTGTCTAGAAAAAAACAACGAAAGTTTCCCTATTAAACTACACAGCTCAAAGAATACAATTACATCAACAGCATTATTTTGTAGCTTTCAGTTCACTTATCGGATAAGTCTACTAAAACCATTGTTCTACATATATATGTATTTGCTTTTTGATTCAGTGGTTAGTGTTTTAAAGTTCATTTACAAATTTGCTAAACTAATCATTTTTTTTGTATCAGTGATGGAAATGATACCTTTCGGTTCCTTGTTTCCTTGAGTACACTAAAGAATAAATTTTTCACTGGAAAAATCAGTTTATGTAAACTGATGCATTTAAGTATATTGATTTTCATTTTTGCATAGTTTCACTTATTTATTGAAATTGTTGAAGTAAAATAATGAGTCTGTCATAATATTATTATCTAACATTTTAGCCAACATTAATCATTTTATTTTAACAATGTTTCTAAAAACTCAAAATCATCTATAATACTGATGATAAATTCATTGAAGCAAAACAACTTGACGTCATCTCTTTCGTTCTAATCCTAAAACCGTATGTTTTTTTGTTTGTATGCTAAGGAAAATCGTCCAATACCATATACTAAAGATACCCTTCTTACTTTTTTGCTCATACACTGATTTTTATCATCGTTTTTTTAAAAATTCTGTACCTTGTCAACAAATTCCACTTGATTTTTACTAGTTTTCTTATATTATTCAATTTTTTCTTTTTCGAAGTATCCTATCATGTTTTCTCTTGAATTTTCAAGCCTAGATGAAATGATTCTGTTTGGAATGATTGAAATTTAACGGTAGTTTATCTTCGAGGAATTATCTCAGCTGAGTTAGCATTGACAACAAGGGAAAAAGAAGGCAACCATTTGTTCATGTTATGGGATTCTTCCGAAGTGTCCACCCACTATTCTACGAAATATTATACCTGTAACCTGAAGTTACTATAGGAAGCATTTATTCTTAGAACCATCGGTTTGGCTTCAGACATATGTGATATAGTGATATAGCGTTGTGGTCATTTGATGTCATTTATAACTTTCGTTTCATCGTAAGGGTGCTGCGTTCGATCGCTGGTGGATTTGTGGGTGTGTATGCTGTCGAGAAGTCCTATACTACAAATAAACAACCTCAGTGCCTAATGTTTCCCACAACTAATAAAGTCTCATCATTTTGAGCAATCTTAAATAACCTATTTTTCAGTAATAATGCGTACGGTTGAAAATGGCAGTTGTTTGGATAGGACAACAAAGTCAGTCACTTACAACGTAGAACGTCATACGTATGTACATCAGTCAGTTCATGTCGCCATACCGCATTAGCACAGAGACGCAACTCTCAGTTCAAATCCAATAGTGGTAGCGATAGTAGAAGTTTTAGCAGTAATGGAGAGGATTAGGGTTCGAAGATGTTATTCGAGAAGTATAATTCAGTGAGATATTTTCAGAAAGAGAAAAATAGAGATGATAAGGAATTCAGAAGGTTAGAATTTGAGAGAACACAAAAAATGAATGCACCAGCGCCATTGCACACGTTTTTGAGGCTTGTCGTTCAGGGTCTCTAACCATTGGTGACATAGGTCTTGCGGACCCCAACCAGGTGGTCGAGCATTCGTAACACAGGTCCCAACCACCTTCAGTGAAGAAGTTTCAAAACTCAATCTATTGATCTGTCATCCTTACCTAGTACTCGTTTCCTAACGGCAGCATTGCTTACTCGATTGTCCCACGTTATACGAGCAATGCTTCTAAGATATCTATGATCAAATACTAGTAACCTATGAATATCTTCTACTTTCACCGTATAGTAGAACGAAGCGAACAGCACACTCGACCTTTGGCTAGCAGACGGATATCTCGCTTGTGCCATAAGTGACGCAGGTTGGCAAAAGCCAATCGAGCCTACTGTATCCGTGCTGACATTTCGTCAGTCGCCAGGCCATCAGCACTGATGAGACTCTCGAGATAAGTGAAGCGGTCTACACGCTCGACTACTTCACTCCCTATCACTATTTCAGGTGCCGACGCAAGCCAATCTTGAAGCAATATTTTGCATTTCGAGGGTGAGAACCGCATCCCGAACATGCTTGCATTGTTGCTTATGGTAGTCAGAAGACTGCATTTTGTCAGCGTCTTCACCAAATAGGACTCTCTCATCAGCATATTCTAAGACAGCGAACGAATCTCCTGAAACGCTAGATGATGAAAGTGTCGTCTCCAAAAGCATGTCAATGCCAAAGTCAAAGAAGAATGTGGAAAGTGGACAACTTTGACTAACACCATTCGAAGTAATCCATTAGCTCTGACTCGACCAGTAGTTTTCGAGTCGAGAGTTTGTATGAGGTTAATGTACTGCTTTGGTACACCTTTCAATGTCAGGCGTTTCCACAGAACCTCACGATTAACATAGTCAAATCCCGCCTTAAAGTGGAGAAAAACTTCTATTGTGGGACGTAAGAGCGTTTGTCAATTTTCTAGTAAGACAACAAAAATTCAAGTCCTAATGTTAGTAATACTACCAATTCAATCTTAACGTTTTGTTGCTGGTTTTAAACTCTGGTTCACTTCGATTTAAGAAACTGGTTAACTTCGACAGCCCTCACATCAACAATACAATCGAGTATATAATGCATGAACTTGGTAATTGAGTTTCTCAGGTGTTGACGGAAATCAATCTGTTTATTCAGTCGTTTGCTACAGGAAGTAACCGTTCTCAATAGAGTCTAATTAGCTACTCTGTTTGCTCATCAGTGAAGTCAATATGCTAGATTTCTGAAGGAATTAATTGAGCTCATATAATTTTAATCGTATCTGTTCATTTTTTCCTTCTAAAAATATTATCGGTAAGGCATTTCTTTTGTGATTGTTAATGCTTTCCTAAGATAACTAACTAATAGTGAGTTACAATAACAATATATTCTCGTTTTGTTTAATCGGAATCTGTCAACTATATTGATCGTCATTGTTAACTTGTGAATGGATACTTTAGAACAATAGAAAAATTTTTTTGGTAAAATAATAATTAAATCTAGTATATGAATCATGGTAAACGAATTCAAACCACACATCACTCAGTATCTATGCATCAAATTTCATTGCTCCTGTAAGCTAACACTATTCAAATGAACTGTTATAGCTTCAATCTTATTGAAACTGTCTCAATTCTCTCTCATCTAGCATGGATAGTAAAGTGATATTTGCTTTATTCCAACTGGTCATGATTTTAAGAACCATTAAATCATGTGTATGCTGAAGGTGTTAATATTATTGTAAATTGTAAAATCCAGTGTACTCTAATTGTACTAAACATGATAAGCGAATTGCCGAAAGTAAGGATAAATGACCTTACTTGTATGTGTATGTGAAGACAATTCCTCAACATTCTCTTTAGGCTGTCATATGTATGGTAAAAAACTAAGTCCTACACTAACATATCAACATCAATAGCGACAATCTAATGTAGAAATTTTCAAGAGATTCAACGTGTGTATACTTTGTACTTTGTCACCAAGTGAGCGATGTATGATTGAGAGTTTTCGATTTCCGTTGATATACAAGTTATCTTTTTTGATTAAAATTGGTAAGACAGCCTATTGTCTATGACTTTGGGGTTTCTTTATGGACGAAAACGATATAAGTTGTAACAAGTGTAGAGTTTTGTTGTTATGCCGTAGTGGTATTATTTCATGACTTGTTCATGTATGATTGTCGAAAATATTTGTTGGTAATGGTAGTTAGTATAGCATAGAATAAACTGTTAAGGCTCAAACACATGCTTAATTTTAGTATGCTCACCTATGTCAATATTTCTATCCTAGTATTAGTCCATGAGACCGTGGTCTTTGAATATGAAAAGTATTTCGGATAGGTCTTCAATTGTAGTTATCTTCCGAGTGTTGCTCGTATATATTAGGATCATTGACTGAGGAATGTTAAGGTACATTAAGTCTTTTATTCAGTACACTTATAGTTATTTTTCTGAAAAAGCAGTTTAATTCCTCATTCTTGTTCTTCCTTGTTCTATCATCATGTCCAATAATCTAATATGTTGTTCAATGTACATTGTTATTTATTTTTATAGATGCATCTGGTCGATTGAAGAATATGAAGTGATATTTTTTCATATTTTAAATATTTTATAATAATGATTTGAATGATTTCTTTATAAATCTGATTCACATAATTCTCATTTTCATTATTATTATTATTATTATTATTATTATTATTATTATTATTATTATTATTATTACTGTTACCGATATTAAAGTATCGTGCGGATTAAATCTCTTATTGAAATCCAAATTTATTATGCTATTTCGATAGTATGTATACACATGTATGCGATAATCTGTTTGTTGTTGTCTATATGTTGGTGATTTATCATGATTTCGCGTCATAATATATGAAAATTAAATTAAAAATGGTGAATTTTTATGCCATAAAATAAAGACAATGACTACATTTATGTATGATGAAGTGGTGAAAATGAAAATTCTGTTGGAATTCATGAATTTATTTATCATGTTACCTGATTTTTTTCTGCTTCTCACCACGATATACAAACATCTGGTGGTGCACACAATAATAGATAAAGGACACTTTTGTTACATTCAGTTATTTTATTGTATTTTATTTATATATATGTGTACCGCAAATCTTTTCGAGACTAAGTATTTTTCATAAATATTCGTTTCCTTTATGAAAAGATAACTTTCTCTCCTAGAATAACATAATCTCGGACTGGATTCCTCAGTGTTTCAAATTCCAAGCGGAACAGTATCTCGATGAAAATTAAAGCTCTATTAAGTGATAAATAATACACCTTAAACTGTTTCATCTAATCTATGTTAAATAGTTTAGTACTGAGATTATTTTTTGTTCGACAGAATAGAATATTGGCTATACAAGCGATTGCTTTCACTTGTTCACTTGTTTATACTTAGGCTATAAAAATTTAAAATTGTTTATAAGTAAAGATATTGATGTGAGTGTTTTTCCTTCTTTCTTCATAAAAACATAGAAATGAAGAGAATAACTCATTGTCTTTATTTGCTCAGTATTTTCAAAGAACTTTTGTTACTGTTTAAATATTAGGAAAAAAGTTAAATTAGAGGTTAAAATTCAATCAATCAACAGCATTGTAGGACTTCGTACGTACGTACGTACGTACATCACTTTAAATTGCCGTACCACATTAGCACAGAGATGTAACCGTCAATTACAATCCCATAGTAATAGATGTGGTAAAGGTATTAGCAGTAATCGGAGAGATCAGGGTTCGAAGATATTATTCAAGAAGTATAATTCAATGAAATGAACTCAAGAAAAAAAAGATAAAGTGATGAGGAATTAAGAAGTTTAGAATTTGAGGATGCACCTACGCCATTGCAAACGGTTTTGAGCCATGTCATTTAGGGTCTCTAACCATCGATTACTATCATCTCGCGGGACTCAACCAGGTAGTCGACACGTACCGACATGAGAGATTAAAATTACATAACTCCAACACATGGCTCATTCTAGTATCTTTCAGAAAATAATCAAAGAATTTCAAGTTCACCTGTCAAATGTAAATTGTTTCATTTCATGTTGGCTAAAATTTTTAAAAACCTAGTTTTCTATTCAGTGTGTTAATATCAAATTTTTTTTCAGAATAAAACTATTTTGATAGTCAGTTAACTCTATTTTCTCTTCATTGTTTTGTATCTTTTACATGACAGGTAAATTTTTCTAATTTAATTCAGATTCTAAGTGATCATATTTGGAATTCATCAGTAAAATCCAATTCTTCCCCTCCTCCCCCTCCACTATCATCATCATCATCATCATCATCATCTCTATCTCATAATACATACAGAAACATGACAGGTAACAGTGTTGTGAAGAGTTTCTCTTCACTGCAATCTGATACAAATCATCATCATACTCATACATCTGTATTTCTTCTTATCACACCTAAATTAAATAATAATTATCAGACAAGTTTGGAATTAGTCTTTTCCAATAACAGATCGTCTGATCGAACTAATTCTCATGCGCAAAACCTTCACAGATATCAGTTTTTAGGTAAGTCACTTCAATAGTTACACTAAGGAGTTTTATAAATAAATAAATTCATTTCAGAGAATTATCATTTTATTTCAGTTCATCGTAGCTATAATATTTTCTAACTGGTATACACTTATTCGATCGACGTATTACTGTTACCATTGAGTACCCTCCTGATTCTAAATGACTTTCTTTCTTTAAAGTGCTTCACAATTACTATTATTATTATTATTAATATAATTACTTTGATTTCTTATCAAGTAAAACATAATGAATAACAGTGTCTTATCCTACATTGATTATTGAATTTTGTTGATTGTTTTACTTAGTAAGTTGCATTTCCGGTTTTCCTAATATTAGATAATATGTTAGTATCCTTAGTTCTCACAAAAAAGTCATTTACAAAAATCACAACCTTAAATTGATGAGTTTTACATTGAATCAATTTGCAGAATATTTCAGTTTGAAAATTATTAACGATTTATTTATTGTCAATAATAACTATTTTTGAGTTCTGCATATTAGAAAAGATTACTACAAGCTGGTCAATTTAACCTATTGTATAGTTATGAAAATCAATAAGAATAATTAATGAATAATACCCATTGGACAGTCTTTTGCCATATTTTTGTGTATGTATGGGTTATATAGATATATATATTACTGTTTTATTCATCGGCTAATATATGTTATGCCTTCTATCCAGTTTTCTTTTTCAAGTCATTTGCTTTCCATTTTCCACTTTTATTCCATTACATTGTTTGGACATGAATTCGTAAAATGGGATTGTTTCTATCCTTACTTTATATTTTCTAACCTAATAATTATATAACGGACATAATACGTATTATTATATGTACGAGCATAAATACAGATAGGTTTGGAGAAAAAAGTTCATTTTTTCGTTATATATCTAACTTAACGTTTTCTGCTCATCTTGAGTAACAATGATAAATAAGATATGTTTTCATCTCCCTAAGTGTGAATACTTGCTTCAGAACTGATTTAAATCAATGCTTTAGTAGACTACAGAGAGTTAAATAGCAGAATGTGTTGACCATTGTATTCATCTTAGAAACTTGGTCAATGCAGTTAGGAACAATGGCTGGCAAGATTTTAGCACAGAAAGGAAATGTTCATCCTAGTTTTTCTGAGTTCCTTGACATATGATTTAGAAGAGATGTTCGTCAGTTTGTCAAAGGCCAGTATACTGTAAATTTTTTTCTCTTTATTAGCCTGAATGTTATGAAACTCAGCTTTTGAAGCAAATTATATTTGTATGTTACTAGTTTTTAGCTATGCATATCTTTGGATCGTCGCTCATATATCTTCGAATACCTGAACGAGATTTAATGAGGTTAGTCATGGGATTCCAAAAGAAAATTACGATTGTGTTGATGAAATTATCGATTCGGACACTACCAGGATAATTTAAATGCCAGGGTCTAGTAAATCAAGCGATTTCATCAATCCATGATACACTAACTGTTGGTTTAAGTCATGTAGAAAAGTACTCTTTAGATAGGTCTAGAGTTTAAGCGTTCATACCCAGAACCGAAGGTTCATGGCTTTCAACTATTAACAGCTACAGGTGCTACATTGCTCGCTACATGGATTGAAATATGTAGTCTTGCTGCAATTCCATTAATATGCTTTTATATCTTAAACTTGAGTACAGTTTCATCTCCTGTCTTTATTCATTCGGTGCTACTTTTTTCGTCTACTTTATCCTTTGTTCTTAATGAAATGACTGAAAATTTAGGTCTTGTTGGCTTAAATAATCAACAATGAACTGTAATGATACTATAATACACCTCATTAATCAAGTACAGATTGATTTATTTGCCTTGAAGGTATAATTTCGATGTATGGATTAAAAGTTTTGTCCAATCAACGTAGGTATATGGAATTTGAACTTGTCATTTAATAGATTTAATCAAAATTTTTTTTAAAATTACTTAATCATCTTCCTTTCTCTTTCATCCTAATTTATTACTTCAGTTACTAGTTTATTTGTCTACCTGTCACTGAACACTTAAAATGAGTGAAATGATAAAATTGACTGAATTGAATAACAAACATTTCATTGAAATTATGAACCTATATGGGACTTTTCAGTAATATGCATCCATGACTTTCACTCGCTATTCACTTATTTAAATTTGGCATATTATACATCCATTTATATTTTGATAAGATTTTATATGCATAAAGAGAAAAGAATAAAGTTTGAATAAGTTAATATGTTATTTTCAAAAGTCAGTGATAGCTTTTTCTTAAAAGATACATTTCTTTATTTTTTTTTCTCTTTTCTACTATATCTCATGTTATTAGATGTAAATAATAATGAAAATAATAATGATAATAGTAATGATAACATTCCTTTCACATTCTCCTGTTCAAATTCAATTAATGAACATTGTCAAAACAATGATACTGTGAGTTTCAGTCGTTTATTTATTTGATGAGAAAAAAAATACTGAACATTAACTTACCATGCATAAGTGAATCTTTTTCCTTTTATTCCTTTTAATTATCAGTTTAAGGTGTAATACATTAGTGTATCTGTGTATAATTACATTATTATAGTATGGTTAAATTAGTTTGTATTAAGGATATATATTGTGTTGTAGATTAAAAATGGATCATTACTGGCATGTGTCATCCAGTTTATTAGATTGGAACACTTAAATAAATGGGCTTTTATCTAAAAAAAGGTGAAATTCACAAATAAGCTATTTGTGTTTGTGTTTATCACTCCGGCTAAATCTTTTCTAGCATAACTGTTGGCCACAACTCCAAATAAAAGAGGGTTAGCAACCTTATCTCGTAGAAAACAGTCTCGCTAAAATCCATAACCATAAAAGTCATTTGGCCTAATTAAACTCTGCTCTTGGGATTGAAAAGTCTTTAATTAGACGAGTTATGACACCTCATTTTCAGAAATCATATAGTCGATACCTCTTGCAACCAGAGCATAGGTACATGGAATGTTCATAGAATATGAGGGACCATACTTTTTTCTTAGAATGGATCACACTCCAAATTCGTGAGTGAAGAGCAGCTTACAGATTCATTATAAATGAGGACTGGAATGGGACAAGACTGCTTACTCTCTGCTTCCCTCATTTTTCTGGTTTTTGGCTTGATTGTGGAGACTTTCATATCTCAGGCTAAGCATGAAATACAGTGAAAATCTTGAATGCAGCTAGATGATTTGGATCTCGTATATGACTCACCTTTTTTATTCCGTAAATGGCAATAAGTGCCGATGAAGATGGCTAGTGTAGCAGTACCCTCTGCAGGAATAAATAAATAAATCTAGATAGCCACTAAATTTTTAAATCTGTATAAAGGCATTGGTGAGTATTAGTAATTTTTTTTTTAGTTTTTAACATTTACAGTCAAAACCATCTATGTTGTCATTTTCATTATTTATTCATTTTTCTTTTTGAATAACAACAGTCAAAGCATAATAATAATAATCATAATGTTAGCTCCAACAATAAACATAATAATCATGACAATGATGTTAAGACAAATTCCAATATAAATCGATTATTAATTCATAGTGATAATAATGACAATAATAATGATAAAGACGAATTTAATAATTTACTATCTGATGTTGTAATTAATTGGGCTAATGATCATCCTTATTCATCATTATTAACAATAAATAATTTTGACAATTCTGACTCAACAGAAAACATTCATTTAAATTACAGTGGTGATAATCAAAATGTTGATGATGTTATCGATCACAAACATTATTATAATAATACTGAGAGTAATCAACATTCTATTGACAACATTACAGCCACTACTACTACTACTATTGATAATAGTGATGATGATAATAATAATAGTAATGATTATTATCAAGAAGAACTAGGAGAAGATCCAACAACAACAACAACAACTATAGAACCTATTGAAATAGGCTCTATTGATGAATTAATAAATTTCACTGATTTCATCATTACATCAACATCAACACCGCCATTTGTATCAACGTATACTGATGAAAATTTAGGATATTTGTCAAATGAATTAATCACTAGTAATCATCTATTAGGGCATGATGTTACATCGACACCAACTATTACAACCACTGCCACTACCACCGCCACCACAACTAGCAATAATGACTGTGATGATGATATTATAACTGAACAACACCAACCTATTCATAATTTCATTTCAAAAGAATTTGCTTCTAGTGAATTTTTGTCTAATAATTGCAATATTCATACTACATTAAATAATCATGATCGATATACTATACACATTAATCATGTTAATATTGATAAAGAAGAGATAGATGATAATATGATTAGTAATAACAATAATAATAATAATAATAATAATAATAATAATAATAATGATAACGGTGAAATGGACGATGATTTAAATCGTGAAGCTTTTAAAAAGTAAGTGATTTGATTATTGTTGTATATTTTAACAATAATGAATTATGCAATTGAATGAGTTAAATACTTTAATTAGTAAGCGTTTGTTACATTTTCGTTCTGGCTAAACGTCACGACACTACTTCTACTTAGATGTGAACCTTCTTAAACTGCTTCACAAATGACTTTGTTTACGAATTGGTTGTATTTGTTATCTTTGTGCGTAATTGGATTCTGATTGGCATGAATATGGAGATTGATATGAACACTGATGAACTATTAACTATCCATGGAGCGATGATTGACTGATAACACTGTAGTTCAAGATTCTTTAATTTTTGAATCAATGATCACATCACTTCAAGAGACCAGATCGAGCATATTCATCTTCCACATTAGCTGTAGACAACGAAGTCTTAAAATCCAATGGTATAAACATTTCAATCTTCATTCAATTCACACATACATCTTAATAATGAATTACTAGTATTCTTGTTGGATAAGTTGGTCATTTTTGCAGTATAAATTACTTGAAAGATAGTTTTCATTTATATTATCACTCTATTTCAATCATATTGTAAAATCTCACGGTATTAAATTGTTTTTCATCTCAATTGGAGACGTTCTAATAATTAACAAATTACCTTTTCAAATGTTTATCGTTAAGATCTTAAAGTTCTTCTGCTATCTCTACTACTATGGGATTTGAACTGACAGTTTCGTCTCTGTGCTAATGCGGTATGGTAACGTGAACTGATGTACGTACGTACAAAGTTCTAAGTTGTAACTGATTGACTATATTAATCAAATTTTTAAATGTAGATTGAAAATTCTTTGTTCCCTTTTTTTGTTTTTTTTCTTTACTTCACTATTTAGTATTTACTCACCCAACCATTGTTTATCTCCGATAACAAATATATGTGAACCTTTAGTAAATGAAGTAAGTGACCAATCAAATATTTCATCTTGCAGTACGTTTTTATTTATTTAAACAGAGAAACGTTGATACTAAGAGGCACCAGAATATATATGCGCCACACAAATTATTGACTTTGTATGTAAGCTGGGATACTGCCCTATCACTCTCACCTCCAGAAGACTGTGAGTAGGACTTCCCTATCAATAGCTATCTAAGCGTGATTATATGGGACTCTTGTTATCCTCGGACGTAGCAGAGCATTTAAAGGCACTAAATTTGAGCATCCATATAGTTACTTAAGTGTAAATTATGTGATAGTTCAGTCACTTAATATACTGGTTTATGCATGTTCCAGAATCTCTGTTGTTATTATTTCTTTTCGACACAATTTTCAGAGAATAATAAAATATTAGATGGGATCCACTTTTCTTAAGGTTATTATAAGTTCTTTTATCAGTTGGTTGGTTGACATGAAATTCACTAATATAAGATCACTAACAATGTCTTCTTCTTCTTCTTCAACTTTTTAACGTTATCAATCTGTAAGTATTAACATATCTTCGTTTTTTCCTTAAATCTACCATGTCAAAAAACTACACTTCTCTCATGATGTTACAAATGTTTCTCTCTACGGTTTTTCATATCTTTCAAGTAAAAAATATTGACTAAGGTAAAGTGAATAGTTCTTGTCATTTGAGTAGTCAAATGCTAATATTTTTTACTTCAACCCATACCTTGTGTATACGATCTACTGATATTGCTGAATTAGATAGACTGGAATTCCATTTTTACTAACTAGCGGTCGAAAGTCAACGGCTCTAACCATTAGCAAACTACCATTCTACTGATTTGACTGTATCATCACATTTCATTTTATACCATCGAAAATACTTCAACCATTCATTAATTATTATTCACCAACATGAATACAGCAGCCTAATCTTATTGCTTTTAAAATAAATTTCCACATATTATGGTTAATTCAGATGTTTAATTCAACTTAATAAGTTTAATGCTTATCAATGTTCATCTTTTCATCGTTGTTCATTTCATCAAAAGTAACGGTCTATGATAATATCTCTTATGCAACTAGATTACTGTTTTTACTATAGTTAATATAAATTACTATTCGTTCAGAATTTCATATTTCCAATGATTACAAATAACAGTTAAATTCACTCATAATCATTATCGTTTTATTTTAACTCGTAAATGTGAACATTCTCTGTAGTCTGAAATGAAATTTTACAAAAAAAAAATTTTAGTGTCTGAGTTTCATTTACAAATAATCAAGTAAATTGAATGATTTTTTTTTTATGACAACACAATTTGATTTAATCAAATATTCTCATCAAATATTCAGTTAAATGAATTTATAGTTTACTCTGTTCCTGATAAATTGTATGCTATAAAATTATTTATTGACTAATTGATTAAGTGTATATTTTAGACAATCAAAAGTATTGTCTACGAGTAAAATGTAGTCATTCAAGTTAGTTTTACTACGAGTAATGCATCAAATAAAACAGACTAACTAATCAAAGATTACAAAGTAATCAATAGTCTCATATTTCCATTCACTGTGACTGAACAACAAAAAAGTAACTGTCATTAATATGGTAAAGGAAATCCAACTAGTGAGACTGTTATCATTGTGGATGATTTAAATCAAATTAAATCACTACTATTACTGTTGAAATATCAAGTAATGTTCGCTATTCTATGTTCAGATTGCTAAATTCTAATCTTTAGTAAATTGAATAAACCGACCGAATTGTCATCAACATTCTCAAGCTATGATTGATATACTCATGTACCAATTACAAATTTTTATTCTCAGATATGGTCCACTTTGATTGTATGCAGACTTATGAGATACTATTCGACTTCCTAAACTTAAACAGGCTGGGCGAGTTTCGAACCTTTGACCTAGTAGTTGAAGGCTAAATGCTTTAACTATTAGGCTTTTGAGGGCTGTTTTTGTAATTTCAGTTTGATACTTTTTAAAAGAACAGTTTTCATTTTATACTTCAATAAATTTGGTCATATGATTATATCTCCTTATCTAATGTTGCATTGACGGAATAAATTCTCAAACTGGGTTAGGATATAGCTGTTCAATACTTCCTACTTTCGTGACTGATTCTCTAAGTGATATCACTTTTTTTTTTCGTAATCAACTTGTAACTTTCTAATTTTTATTTTTATTTTTTTCACAAAATTTTAATAATCGACTTTTTCTTATCAGTACAATTTGACTGTATAAACATCACTGATATTATAATATACATATTTTTTACTTATTTGTTTTATTTTAGAGTTTTGACATTGTACAATCCAATAGTCCACAAAATGATGCTGTTTGTAATTCAGTCATGTCTTCTGATAGAGGATATTCAAAATACAATGCTGATTGGTGCAATAAGATAAATTTGTCAAAATTAAAACTATCAGGTTTGTAACTATTTTTCCATCTTCTTATTAATTTTTATTCAGTGCTACTCGAAAATTAACAATTCCTTTTGTTTTTTAGATCATTTAGATCTATTTTAGTCGGCCTAAAATGAATGTTTTGTAAGGTTAAGCTAGATTGTTACAATATGTTGGTTTAGCGTAAACTATTGCTTAGTGTAGAAAAAATATTTAATTCACCGAAAAATGTGTCGTTTATTTATGAAATCAATTAATTTGAGTTACAAGTTTTATAATCTCAAGAAATGTTTATTCTAAACTGAAATTCTTATTAACAAACGTTTCATTAGTTTTTTAATTCAAATTCTATCTATATTTTCACTTTATTTCGAATAATCTGACTGATATATGTTTGTGCAGAAATTTTCAAACTGTTAGTATACTTCTCATATACATTCTACTTTAGCAAAGCATCCAAGAGCAATACTTGTCCCACGATTCTAAGGTGGCTATGTCATGAAATGCATGCAACCAGTATTGGTCTCCACCTAATATGACTGTTTTCTAATCATTTTTCAAAAGGTAATGATCAGCCCTCTCCTCTTTAGTTAGTCGTTCATAAGTTTTTACACAATCTACTTAGTATGGCAGAACCTAGTCTTTTGAATACGTCTAAAAACTAGCTTATACTTATTCAAGTTTTATCACACCGATTATGTTAGGGATTTTTGATGATGCTCAAGACATTAGTTTGATTCCAGGATTATGAAACAGTTCGCTATATCTTCTCAAACAATCTAGCCTTTGATCAGTGATTCACCTTTATCCTTGGAAAGGAGCAGATTTAAGTCACATAGTGTGCGTAGATTGTAACATTTCATTAGCTGGAATTCTTACCAAACGTTCAAATCGTTAGGTAGATCCGCAGTCATCAACCATGGAGAACTGAACAGCTGAATCTGTTGGTGAAACAAATTCGTTGTACTATCTTTGGAAATGTTCCACTCAGTGTTTCAGGTGCTTTTAGAGACTACTGATTGACATTGTTCCGTTGACATTTAGCTTCTCACTACTATTAACTCATAAGTTGAAATGGTTTCCAGTAGTTATCAAACAATAGCTGTTTCGTTCTTTGTTAAAATATTAATTATTTCTCTGTATAATCAATTTTCGAAAAATAAAATGTAATCACTCTGTTGATTATTACTATTTTTTTTTCGAATTTTTTTTAAATTTTTATTCAAACATTAGATGATCTATTACGTTGGATAGTGTTTATTCGTTTCAGTGCATTAGCACCAGATATTCATTTATCAATTGAAGAAAGTGAAGATGAATTCATTTTACTGCCAAATCATAAATCGAGATTGTTTAGTAAATCATTTGATGAAACTAACTATAATCATCATCATAATAATAATTCACATTTATCAAAATATACAGAAAATATAAATTCTCACAATATTTATAATTCAACACATACAAATTATTTAACAAATAATCTTGATGATTATTCTAAGGTTAGTTAATTTATTAGTTGGTTGATAGTTAACTGCACATAAAACTCTAGTCTAAATGATAAAAATCAAATCATATTTTTTTTAATCCCTAAAGCTATTTCATTTTAAATGATATTTTAATTAAAAATGATCAGAGGTATAGTTTTAAATTACCAGAAATCAAGATTTTTGTATTGAATAGTCTATGACAGCTGATTGATTTGTTCTGAAAACTGAAATTCATCTGAAATTATGTACCAAGAACTTTGTAAAATATAAACTTGTTTTTGAAAATTAAGACCCCTATCAAACACGGTGTAAGTTTTCAAATAATTTAGTGATGTATATTTTACACTTTTATTATTGAATAACCTGTTTTGAAATCAATAGTGCTGTGTGCAAATGTATCGATCGGTTACTTATTATTATCATCGTCATAGGATTCAATGTCACAAGAATATTTAACTGTAATTGAATTAAATATTACTGGGATAGTAAGCAGCTTTGTTCTGCTTTCCTTAAACTTTATTTTAAAAATCTACAGTTTATTGCCTTTCTTGGAAGTTTTGATTGAGTTGAATTCTCCTAGGTAATATTACATTATTGGTTTCGTTTCCTTTTTCTTGTTAATCGCCTAGAACAAGATATGATTTGTGAAGTAAACTCATGACATAGTTCCTCTCTTGTTAGTTCATTTCAGTGTTGCTCTAAACATCTATATACACAAATAATTCGATGCAGTTAACTTTTTTCGTTGACACCACTATTAAAAACTTGGCAGCGATGCACGTCCGTTTCATCCTTTTGGAAATCATGAATCGATCAATGTTAGAACACTATTAGAAATCTGAAAGCACTGGACATCTGTTTCGTCCTGGTATGGGACACATCGGCTATACGAATCCACGACTCCTGCTATTCGCGGGATTCGAGTGTTAAGTGGTGCTCACTGAAGGAAGTGGACAAGTTTGCACAAGACCGCAGATTGGTTGAAGTTAGAGAATAACACCATGAGTGCCTGCCCAGTGGTCCAGAGGTTAGGCGTACGCGCACAAGTCCTGGGTTCTAGTGCTGCGAGTAGTGGAAGTTGTGGATACTCTTTGCTGATGAGTTCCTTACCAGGACGAAATGGTCGTCCAGTGCTTACAGGTTGCTAAATGTGGTATAGTTAAATGACAACAAGTTGAATTCATTCTCACTTTCTGTCAGAGGTATAATTGAACTTTGTTGATTAGTTGATATAGTACAAAGTATGTAATTTTCCCATTATTAGTGATCACATTGCAACTTGATCAATAAACTGCTATCATAATTGAAGATTAAAAGACTATAATATTAGTTATTACTTATAGATCAGTCAGTATAAAATCTCCATCCTACATAAGGTCTGCCGGAACCCGGACAGCTTATTTGTGACTCAGATTAGCGGCATTTGCCAACTTGAAGTATCAGTCTTCTCATTTTTGCTGAAGCGTCATGATTATAACTACTAACTAGTACGAAAACTTTGGTCGAGAGTATTTTGGAGATGGGCTTCAACTATCTGACATCAAATTATTCATTTATTTATGTATCATCTTTACCTTTATGTAACATTTTAATGGTCTTTTTTTGTTGTTATTGTTGTTGTTGTCAAAACAAAAACTTGCAGTTAAATATATCATTTCGACGTGATCAATGTGCAGATAAATTAGAAATGTATTTAATGCTACAACTGGTTGAATGGATGAAGAAAACAGATAACAATATTAGTATTAATACTCACTACAATAATAATAATAATATTGTTCGATTGAATGAAAATGAACAAAATAATTCTACTAATAATGATGAAATCAATCAAAGTTCTGTCAACTTTTTATTAGAGGCTGAAAGTGAATTTGATGAAGTCAATATTCAACAATTACAAGAACAAATGAACTCATTGAATGTAGATATTTCGCTTTTAAGTTGTGTAGCTGCTTTAGGGTAAGTTGTTGCTATTGTTTATGTATGATTATAATTTATTAAAATTGTTTTGTTATCAAATAAAATACAGATGTTAATTATTTTTTTGTCTAACACTAAGATGTTAGGATTTAGACATTTGATTTCTGTCAGAAAACGCTTGTAAATGTTTTGTTCAATCAGCGTTGAGCAGAATCTTCGCAGAAAGAAGCATCTTTAAAGCTCAGGATCATGTATTACGACTATGATTGTGTATTTACCTATACATACCGCTTCTGTATTTAGTAAGATTCTGGAAGTTTCCTAAAACCCAAGGTCACTTGTAACTCGATAAGTACCATCGGTTTCCTGTAGTGGAACCAACCTCGGCAGAAAAGCGTTCTTTTCACACTTTGTTCCGTTTCTCTTTAGTACAAGTTGCCATGTAGATTTAGGGGCTAGGAAATGAAACTCAGCGTTTATTTAGTAGACTTATCAAACCAGAGTGCTCGAAGATGAGTTTGGAATCGCATTTTGTATGGCATTGAAATAGTCTGTTTCAAGAGGGCAAGTAAAGTTGATGAATGCACATTAGGGCTGTTCAGATAATTAGTTTATCCTTCAGGTATCCTGAAATCGAATGCCTACTAGGCCTGGTCAAACAAGAGATCCTTCAGATTATTTCAGGGTTTCTACTATTGGATGCCCTTTGGCTTGAGCGAAAGCTTTTTCAGTATTGTAACGTTACTTCCCCTTTGACTTGATTGTTTTAGATTACTCTTAGTTATCTTCTGGTAAAGATTTCTGTTCTAAAAGATTAACTTTTCAAAAACCACAGATGTACTAACTAGTAATGTCAAGGTTACAAAGCTACTACGTATTCAGTTGCTGTCAGTCTCAATCCCCAAATGACCTGATACAGCTGAGAGTGAAGAGAGTTCGCTCTTCATCTTCAAATGCTCTCATCTTGACATGCGTATTTAGCCACTATCAGAGAGGTGCCACTCAGTGCCTTCTCATGGTGGTGTTGTTTACGAAATTAAGAGGACGAAACGCAAATGCCTGGCGCTTAAATCAGGTTGGCGAGTATGAAGGATCCACCTAAGAGTTAGAAACCCTAATTCCAAATCAGTGGTGCATATGGGCTCCAGAATGCTGGTGGAACGAATCGTGCATGAACCTATTGTTGGTTACACGCTACCATAAGACCTAATCTCCTTACGTTGCTCCGCCGCCTTGTGGATCAGACTTTTTAGTCAAGGGCTCGAGGTTTAGCGTCATATGGAAATTACTTTCCCGGTGGTGTTTCCTTCTCTTAGCTGGGTGTTTTGGTTGTGGAGCTTTCATTGTTCTTCTGAACAGCATTGTCAGCACAAACTTCAGACAGAAGTAAAGTATTCAAATTTCTCCACGTTTGACCCATGGCTTGTTCTGTTAACCTGGATCTTGATTGTTTGCTATTGACCTTAAAGCTGTCGTTGCACTGACGATCGGACTTCCTGGTTGGAGACCGCGAGACGATAGTAACTGATGGTTAGAGCCCTTGAGTGACATGGTTCAGAATCGTTTGCAATGGCGCAGGTGCATCGACTCTTCATGTTCTCTGAAATTTTAATCCTCTGAGTTCCTCATCATCTCTATCTTTCTCTCTTTAAATTTATTTCAATGAATTATACCTCTTAAATAATTTCTTCGAATCTTAATCTTCTTCCTTACCGCTAATACTTCTACTATCTCTACCACTATGTGATTTGAACTGACAATTGTGTCTCTACTCTAATGTGGTATGGCAAAATGAACTGATGTACGTACGGAAGAAGTTCTACGTTGTAACTGACTGGCTGACTGGCATTTGCTTAGATTGTATCCCCCTTTGATGTGTTTCTTCTTCCTATGTTTGCCCTTGGTCTTTCTGATTGGTTCATAAATTGGGTCACTGTCGATGTGTTTGTTGATTGCTGATTGACCTGAATGCCAAGCTTATAAAAATTCTCTAGTGTTCTTTGCGCCCCCCTATCCATTATTTCAACATTGTTCCAATCGAACATATGTCCATAGTTGTCCGTATGTATTGATATAAGTGAAGAACTATCGTAGCATTTGACTGCTAATTAATGTTCACGTAACCGAAGCTGTGTTTTTTACGACACATTCAATAAGCGTCGATTTACTTGGCTTGAAAATAAACTTCCCTCTAAGTTAGTTCTTCATAAAGAATTCTGAATGCTTGCTATCTTTTATCCATTCGAAAACAACGTACCTTACAATGAGAACACGCAATAGCGTGTACTGATGATCGAAATTTGTGAGGTTCAGTTTAACCTACTTTATCTACTGAAATCAACTCTCTATATTTTGAAATCTCTACAACTATACATCATCACTGAAGATTCGGTATTAAAATAATCTGTTTATGTTCAATTGATCATTTGAGTTATGATCAAGAAATTGAAAACATAATTTTCTTTAGTTAACTTTATAGAGATGTAGTAGTTTACAAAAATTAGAAATATTTTTTGCAATAATATTAAGCTGAGTAACACTGAATACAAGTTACATTGAGTTAAAATAACGACTTTGTAATGTGATTAATAATTAAGAAATATAATCTGAAAAATTACAACATCAATGTCATTCAAATCAAAAGAATTCCCCATTCTAACTAGCTAAAGCTTATACAGTGTCGAAAGTAGGTTTAGTAGACAACGTTTAAAAATATCTATCGACCTGAAATATCACAATTGTCAAAACACTAAACAGCAGGAGAGTAATTGTGATAATTGGAATCCATTCTAGGATACTAGCTATAACTTAATTGCGTGTAAAATTCTGAAAGTAAAGGCAAGATTTGTCTCCTAATACAGTGTTATCAAGGTTGATAACATAAACCTCGTAAGAGTTTTCGTGTAATTTTGAACGAATATTTTCACAATATTTCGTCTCAGAGTTAATGAAAGGTGCAGAAAAGAAAATTTCCGAAGATCTTACTTATTTACGCCTATTTTCCCTCATAGAGCATAAGCTACCCACCAGCATTCTCTAACCAACTCTTACTTGAATCTTCCTTTCCAGTACTACATAACTGCTATCCACTTTTTCATATATGTCTCTAATTCTCGGCGCAATGTGTTTTTTAGTATACCTTCTTTCTTTTGGTCCAAAAGGTCCCAAGTTGTGGCTTGCCCCGTAATGTAGTTGGGCAGTTTCTGCAACTTGTCCTTTCCACCTCTAGCTCCTTTTCTTAATTTCGTCTTCAGCTGAAATCTGGTTTGTTCCTTCCTACAGTAGATTATTGATGATCATGTCTGGTCAACAGATCCTCAGTATCTTACGTATACGACTGTTAATAAACTTTTGTATCTTTTAGATAATGGATTTTTTAGTTCTACAAGTTTCCGCTCCATAGAATAAGACTGTGCTTTACTTTTTACTGTGGTTATCATCGTATAAAAGGAGGGCAACTTGAAAATTATGATGTAGTTTTGGTCAGAGACTAACTTTAGTTGGTGAACCATTGAAAATCAGGGAGCACTAGACAGTTTTTTTATATTTAAATAGAATTCCACACTAACGCATTACCACACCCTCGCCATAGATCAAGCCCAAGATTTTCCTATCTTACATTTGGTTCATTACATTTAATTCACTATGTTGGCATTCAGTGATCCTCACTCCCGTCAAAAATCTGTCCGTGATAAATCGTAGGAATGCTTTCTCTGGGAGGCATTAAGATTCTAAGTTCAGTCCCTGGTCGATTCGTATCTGTGCAGGACTGTAAAGTCTTGTAATTAAACAAAACAACTGTCTAATACTGCCTGATTTTCAGCAGTCCACCAGTTTGTATCAATGTCACTAAGAAGAATCTATTCACAATCAATCGAATAAACAATTTTAAATTTAATTTGTTTATTTTGTCACTTTTTTTTAGTTATTCCGAATTGATACTTGGACTGTTGCAATGGGCTGTACGAATTTATTGTTGTCATCAATCTGCGTCATCTGTTGCACATGATTATGATACATTTTTGAAATCAGATATAGACACAGATTTATTTAGGATTTTATCTCTTTTACATGGTGAGTTTTATTATTCATTATTATTATTGTTGTATATATATATTTTTTAAAAATAACAAACACCTCTATGCATACAACTCATTTTAATACCTTATTATATCGTCATATCCATCTTATTTTTTTCGGAGCGAAAATGTATCACTTCTTAATTATCAATATTCTAAACACACAACACAGAAGAAGTACATAGAGGGATAAATAGTAAAATGTACTATAATGCTAAAGGTCACAAGTTGACAGAAAATAAGTAGATGTATTCTATTTTGAACAAAAAAATCCCAAATTTGAAGAAAATTAACAATTGACGACGTCTGTCTACCAATACTAGTTTTCATTCTAAATAAAACTAGTTAAAATCGCTTGAATACAGTGTAGCGAATGGTGACTATTTATCGCGAGATAACCAAGTTAAATCCCGTTAAGGCCAAAAATCAAAACAACAGCTGTGTTTGTAGGTCGAGGTATATTGATTGGTGATCTCGTGATATTGTAAAGATATCGAGAATACCGTAGGAGGCGTGGGAGCAACCACCGAGGCAACCGAGCAATGATAGCGTCACGTGACGCGCGCAATTGTTTTGAGTACAGTTAAACCAAAGGAGTACAATTGGTACAATTGGGTACAATAATACATGTTTTTTCCATTACACCAATTGCGTTCTCTTCGTAAAAGTATTCCACTACAACAGTTTATTTCAATCAACCACGAATCAATTTTTTAGGAATATTTTTCTTTTTTGGGATAATCTAAAGATTAGAAATTACACTGTAAAGTCAGTCATATCTAGAGTGTCTTCCTTTATTTCTGTGCATGACATTGTATATAGTCGTTGTTTGGTATCATGCATTTTCATATACATAGTGATAGGTTTGTTGCATTAATTCATATTGTTTCTTACGTTTATAAATTTCCTGTCTCATTTAACTTGACATTAGATCTAAGCCCAAACAATTCGACTTCATTTACTTATCCGATACTCACACCATTGGGTTCAGCTATTCTTTATGAACAAGTTGTAACAACCAAACTTTTAGTAGTATGGGATCCAGATGCCCTTCATAAACCATGTTTATATAATTCATTATCATCTTGTTCAAAGTCAGGTGATGAGTTTACACCAGAAAAAGTAAGCAATTTCTTTTATTATTGATTTTTTTTTTGGTTAACGACTGATTTATTAATTACACTCAATTTAAATATGAGCATATTCAAATCACATTCTTTTAATTATTCAACATTTTAGAAAAATTTCTACTGTAAAATCTTATATGTTGATACGATTATTCGAATGTCAGGAAAACTTCACCTCATTAAGCGCACCTACGATCGTCTCGGTTAATGATCATATATATATATATATATATATATATATATAATATCAGAATATAGTAACACTAGATATCAAGTCACTGGTAGATGCATTACATCCTAGGCGATGGAACCCGATAAACTTCCAGAAGACTAAACAAACATAACATTGATCCATAACTCAATGATCATTCATTGTAAATATCCTAGTCCTGTAGTAAGCTGGAATAGGATATATTTCTCGAATCATATCTTCGAGCCCTAATCTGTTCGTTTACCGCTAACACTGCTACTACCTCACCTACCATGGGATTCGAACTGAAAATTCCATCTCTCTGTGCTAAAGTGGTATATCAACTTGAACTGATGTACATACGTACTAAGTTCTACGTTGTAGCTGACTTACTGATTAATATGCATACTACGAATACTCATTTACTATCATCGCTAATCATAAGTGACCAAAAATCTTAGTTCAGTGTTTTAGTTAATGAAAGATTCATGATGCAAATAAAATGAATTGATAAATTTTTAGTCGCTCTGTAATCTGACTGCCTTTTTGGATAAATGAATAAACAGCCTGTGGAAATAAATCTTCCGTTTAATCCTACGTAGGCTAACGAACTCCGTTGGTGCAATGACGGTAAATTGAATGAGTTTACTTCATCCATCCCGTTTACGCAATGATGAAGTACCAGAAAAATTTAAAATGAAACGAAGACGGCAAACTAGCCAAGTCGTGACTCATCATTTATGACTAGATAAAAATAAGCTAGAGATATGTGATGAACTAGAGTAAGCCGAGATATATATATATATATATATATATATATATATATATATTCACTGATATAAGAAAAGTCAAGAAGATTACAAACAACTAATTAACAAGGTCAAAATATGTAAATATGTGTAAGAATAAATTAATCACTCTGTCCGAAAGGTAGCATAGCTCACTTAGACACGTACGTATACACTAATGTGAAATATTTTGAAACAATTAAATTATTCCGTTATGTTGCTGAACATGTTAATGTCACCGATACATTAGATTAGTGTAACGTGAATATTAGTTATTATTATTATTATTATAATTTCTGATAATAATAATATTAATATTAATAATAATAATAATAATTAAAGAGTCTAATTATTGATTCACTCATGTATATTTTATTACATTTCGCTTTACTTGTTTTCTTTTTAATAATGATTGCAATGATGAAACCTCAGAGCTATAAAATAAAATGACTAAATTGATTTTTGTCAGCTTGTTTTCTTTTCTTTTTTTAATCTAATTTCAAATCTGTCACACACACACACATCAACATGATTTGATTACGTCAATTGTCTCCTTTTTTGTTGTTGTTGTTGATGTTTTCATTGAATGAAATTGTGTTTTTGTTTTCAGTTGGCATTGACTATCAAAAGTGAATCTATGCAAAATTGTATTCAACAATTAGAAGCACAATATTTTTTATCCAATACACACAATTATGAAACTGATAATGTTTTAACTAAATTAAATAGACTGATAAATTATGCCGAAAAATATTCACTATTAAATTCATCTTCTAGTTTACATGATTTTAATCATAATAATTTCAGAGAAATTGATATCAGTGCAAAATCATCGTCATTTGCTCACTCACTGTTATACACACAATCAAATATGATTGAGTCAGTTGATGGTGCAAAGAAAAATTATAGTTTAGGCGTGTCTCTTGATAATGATCATAATATTCCAGGAGATGAATCACTTTATCATTCCACATCATTACAGAATATCTCTAGTTCAAAATGTCAATTCAAAGACTTTAATGCTATGGTAAAATCATCAACACCTGTAACTAGTCAGTTTATAGATGATTTAAACAATTTTAAACATATTCCCAATAAAAACAACCGCATTAATTCGTCCAATATTCATAATAAACTTTATGATGATGATGATGGTATTGCTTTGAATTCAAATTTATATGGTAAAAATATATGTACCTGGCGTCAACAATCATATAATCGTTATCATCATTGTTTAGATTCAACTTCTCTTTATGCTAGTATAACAAATTTAATGAAAGATGATCATTGTCAAATGTTTTGTTTAGCTGATAGAATAATTGAAGTAAGTGTTGTTGTTGTTTTTTTAAAGTATATAAAATATTACTAATCTCATTTTTTAAAACAATTCATTTGATATAATCTGTTAATCGAAATTTGTTGTTGAGTTTTAATTCAAAAGTTTTAAGTAGTTGGTTGTATTCTTGGTTGTTTATCGCGTATTTACATTCAGTGTTAAGTCTCTATAGCAGTTCTAACCACACAACCGAGTGACGCGTCAAACTTGACATACGGAACCTCGAGATTATCTTCAAAGAAGATACTTTACATTCTAAGCTTCAACTCGCAATCTACCTATTGTGTTTAATGATTTCGTGTGCAATTGCAGAGAATTGATTCCTGAAATAAATATATAAAACTAATTGTAAAAATTCAAAATAAGATATGACAGCTAGGTGTGTCAAAATTATGATGACAGATGATGTCAACATGAGAACAAAGAACATTAAGAATGAAAAAGGCTACAGTAAAACAAGTATTCATCAGGTATATTAGAATCAAAATGATCATTTGCAAGTTATAACTAGATGCAATCACACTAATAAATAAATTAACTATTATTGGTGTACTGTCAACGCTGAAGAACATTTTATGATTACATATGTACTCCGTACTTGGTGCTCAAAATTTATTAGCATCGAAACGAGTTACTGAATAATAATAAGTAGCATAGATGATAAACAAAAAGACGTGGGATGGGAAGAAAATAGAGAAAATGATTGTTGTATATGGCTAATGTACACATACTTTGTGAACAATATGTCTCCATTCGTAATTCCAAAATATGGCTAATTGCTTCGAATGTTTAGATCCTTACAGAATTCAACAATCTACCCACACAATATGCTTACTTTATAAATTCAATACAAACGAGAGCGATTGTGTGAATTCAATTTAATTAGTGGTTCTATTTTTTGTCCATTAAATTAATTTATCATTATGGACCAGGTCATAATCTTCGAAAAATATTTACGAACATTGGAACAAGTTTTGTAACAAAAAAACTAGTTGAATAGGAGGGTGTAGAAATTATCGGTGCTGATAAAAATAATGGAGTTATAGAATATTCTGTAATTAAATATCAAGATAGATTTCATCATAAACTGGGATCAACTAGCGAAAACCATTGTGTATACCTAGCGAAACAACTACAAAACCTTCTTGTTCCAGTTTTAAACTCGTAAGAAATGTAGATCTATGACTCTACATCATATCGATACCGATCTTCAGGTCTCATGAAGAATAAGAATCAAGGAGTGAATACTTAATATTATATGTAAGATAAAAACGAAAGAGATAACTGAGGAGAAAATGAGATTTTTGAAACAAACATACAAAACAATGATCACTCGTTGACATACCTCAGATAGTTGGTTGCAAGTAAAATCGATAATCGTAGACATTTCTTACCAAAACTATATTGATAGTCTAGTTAATAATTAATTAGACTTAAATTATATACATCAGTAGTCTATAAACTGGTTATCTAAATTCCTATTTACTTCAGTCTTCACCCGGATATAACAAACACATCTTCAGATCTTTTTAGTAGCATTTCTAATGTACTCGTTCTTATAACTTATGAAGTTAATTTTTAGCTGTACTAGCTGCTTTTTAATTGACTATATCTCTTCAATACCAACTTTCATATTCAGGTTTCATTTCTCTTAGTTTCTGTAAAATGAGTCGTCATTTTCTTTTCTTTTCGAGAATATTTGCCCAACGGTTGGCGTTCTGTCTTAACCAATTTCTCTAGTACATCATAATGTGTTGAATAATCGTTTCTAAACGAACATGAACTCATTGATTATCTGAACTTTTAGTCAACCTGAAGTGTGCGCTATACTTCAAGAAGTATTAAATATTTGTGACTTATTATATCGAAAATGTATTTATAATTGAAAAGAAAAATTATAGCTGCTAAGGATATTATTAAATTCCACATCCTTAATGTGATTTGACATAATAAAGTTGATATTCGGAATCATTTTTCGTGCGAGTGGTATCGACAGATTAATCTAATGTTGCATTCACCATGTTGGTTATCCTTAAACGCTTATGTAAAGGTAATTTCTCTACAAAGTATAAATTTTTATTACTTATGTTGAATCATTGTATTTTACTGTGAGAAGGTCTAACTATACTACCCGATTAGTCAAACTGATGTCAATTTTGTTGTGATTAACGAAGAAGTTTAAGCATGGGTGCTTAAACTCTTACAGTATACTTATGGAATACTATTCAGTGTTTTCCTATATTTCGTCTCTCCTCAGTTTTATCCATTAGCAGTTCTTTTTTTCTACAAATACAACACTTTGAGTAAGGGAAGCCCAAGACAGAGTAGGTTTGGGATCACTGGTCGGCGGTCTATGCTCCATTGGGAGTAACAGGCGTAAGTAAGTATACAACACTTTCCATCGTCATAATTTTTCTAAAATCTTTTTTGTTTCAAAATATTCTTTTAGGCAATGCCAAGGCGTATTGTTAATCTTCATAATCAAAATTCTGTTGATCTCTCATCAACTCAGTTAGATTATGATATTAATGATGACGACGATAATGAAGAGTTACATTCGTCTTCTATTCAGTTGTCTGATTCAGCTTTAGGTGAAAGTATTGCCTTAAGTCGAACACCTATTCATCAACTCAAATCACATTCTTCATTAGTTCATTATAAACCGTTCACTTTGATAACGAATACTAATTCTTTGACTAATCCTAACCATACAAACAAATATCCAATTGAAATGATTTCGAATAGAACAACAAAATCAGTTCATAATCATAAAAATCATCAACCGATGGGTTCATTCAATTCACTTCCATCTAAACAACTTAATCATAATAAATATCATAATGTCAATGTTGATGATTATTTCAAGAATACAGTAAATGATCAATCAAAAAGTGATTTACTTGGTAGTTTTCATGAACCTTTCAAAATAAGAAGACAAAGGAGAAGAAGAAGAAGATCATCATATTTTACTCCTCCAATTCAACAATTTAAAAGTAAATTAAAAACTTTCAATGATAATGATAATGATGAAGATGATGAAATTAGTTTTGAATTAAATTCTCATGAAACGTAAGTTTAATTTTATGTATGATTATACTGTTTAATTACTTTTGAGAAGACTGAGGCAGGCTCAATAGATTGTATTTGGCAAATTTACACTCTTAGTCATTTAAAAACGATAACATTATATTGAACACTCCATTTGCACACCATCTTTGAGTCCTGACTTCCAACGCTCCAGCCTTCTTCCATTCCTGCTGTTGCTTCCTTTACTTCCTGTCGGTGCTCTATTTCTTTCTTGCTTTTGCTCTATTTGTTTTCCGTTTTCCTCTTCTGACCGTAAGACTTCTTCTTTCACGTCCATTCTTATACTACTTATATCGTTCGTATAAGTAGCACACACCACACTTTTTGTATCAAGACATTTTTCTTTGAAGATAGTTTACACAATACACTTCTTTTAATTTAATAACCATCGAGAAACTAGAGAGTGTCAAAATGACTTTTCTCTATTATGTAACTCATCAGTTGTATGAATTTCTTCATCGATAAAACAAATTATAACTTTTTTTATGGAATTGATAGATAATCAATAGGATAATCCAACACGCAGTTTTCGCCTTATTTTCGATTCATCAGCTCAGATAACTCCAAGAACTGGATAATTCAAACCATTACAAATGAATTTGAATTCCTACTTGTTGCACAATCTAGTGCTTTTATGAACTCAGTGTTTGCAGCGAAAGCTTCTAGGTAGGATTCGCAATGTAAACATCAACACTGGGATCTAGATATATTCATATGACAAGTCTCAAAAAGGATCATTCCATCACTGATCAAAATATATCTGTTCTATCAAACCTGTAACAAAAGGGTCATATCAATACAATCTGTAAATGTGTTTAACTAAGGCTGATTAGAATTAACTCAATAATATCATGAATGAAATAATTCAAACTATTACGGTTTAAACTAATTATAAATAATAAAGACTGAATTTTTTAACGATATCTTGGTTTTTACTTTGCCTGTCTCTGATCTAAATTTGTAGAAAGGAGAACTATCAAAATTTTTCTGTCTAATTCATTAACTTATTCTTAAATTAACTATTGTTAGCCAATGATGAACAGTACCTGTTGATTGATTGATTATATTCATACTCTAAATCACAAAGTGAACTTAGTTTAATCACCATGGAAAACCTGGAATCATTGGACAATTTTCTTGTCGTAGTATGTCATTCCCTCATCGATGCACATTCTCGACCTTACCACAAAGGATCGCACCCAGGGTTTTCTATCTGACGCGCGAACTGATTATAATTTGTTACTTGTCGAAAATTGGTAATTGTACACTTAATGATATTCTGAAGATGCACCGGCTGTTAACTTTCCAAGAAATTGTAAATTAAACCGTAAGAATGTTTTAATTTGCTTGTAGGTTTTTTTATTTTCAAACTTGGTTTTATTTTACTGTATAGTTTTTATCCATCGTTATTTTTACATAATTGTTGAAATGTTTTTATTGTTTGTAGTGAAGTTATCACGTCGAATTCAATGTTCAATACTCCGTTTAGTTCTAACAGTTTTATGAGCTCAGATATCAATAATGAAAGTGATTATGATCAACTTCGATACGATCATCAATGCAAATCATTAAGTGCTTTCAGTTTAAATAGTCCACCACCTTCTACAGCACAAATAGCTGAACATTTTAATGAAGTACCGGGAAAATTTATGGAAACTGATTTAAGTAGACTGACTTTATCGGATGTGGAACAGAAACGTTTATATGAAGCAGCTAAAATTATACAGAAATATTATCGAGCTTATAGAAAACACAATCAATCGATCATCATTCACAACAATGATCATAATAACCATGATAATAACAATAATCACCTGTCCAATACATTGATACCTGATCCTGTATTATACTCTTCATCAAATCATGATCATACAAATCAGATAAATCTAAGTCGTTTTGATAATTCCTTACCTACTAATAATACATATTCAAAAAATATATTTGATATTAGTCATAATTATCAAGTTGTACCAACAATACAACAGAATAATATTATTGTCAACTCTTCAACTCATAAACAAGAATGGAATAATGATGTCTTATTAAATTTCAATAATGATACATCTGTAGGCCTTGAAATTGAAATTGAAACATCATATGAGAATACAATCAATAATGATATTAATAATAATAATAATAATGATAATTCCTATGAAACACAAACAATTCTATCTAATCAGTTGTCTTTATGCGAAGAAACTAATTTCAATTGTATTTCAACTTCAATACAATCAACAATAAATTCATCACAATTATCAACAACACTTAAATCATCGTCATCATCATCATCATCTCATGGAACGTGTAGTAAAGAAATTGAAGCTGCAATTATTATACAAAGTTATTATAGACGTTATAAACAGGTTTGTAATAATCGTTTATCTAATTGTTATTTATTTGTCCACTAATTTAACTAATTAGTATTATTATAACTCTTTAATACATCTATTCAACATCCTCCCCCTATTCACACTAATTCATGCTTAATTCATGTTATTCTACACATTACTTGTTTCGTAACTTGTGATTGAATCACCTTCATGTTAGCTTTATTTATTCTGATCAATAATCTCACAATTTTAGTTTATGTATAAATTGAAAACATGAAAGGAAGTCGAGACAAGGAGTTCAGAAATGCCATTTCAAAGAAATATCTTTATTAGACTCTGGAATTTAAAGGTGATCGAAATTCTCATGTAATTAAAAAATCGATTAGTGATAACAATAAGAAGAACTTTCTGTGCAGAAAACCTGCGACTTGTTTTTTGTATACGTGAAGGATAAGCCTCCCCGTTTGGTCACCTTCATGTACATCTCATAGTTCACTCACTCATGTAGAAGGTGGTACATAAGCCATAGCCAGCAATTGCTTTTAACTGGGATACGAAAACATATCCCAATGTGAATTTACAAGCGTGGGAGGAAGCAGTTAGAAAAGTTTCATCCTTGAGCATTTAATCGATTCAAGCCACTTCACTTATCCATAGGTTGTTTATACAGTTCGTCCAAATCTACCTAGATTTCTATCTACTCAACTCCTTAAAACAAGTGCAGCTCTTAGCACCCATGAAATTAAGCTAGAACTGTATGTACAATAGAAGTACGTCTTATCCTAATATTTACCGCGGCCTTAGGTTGACAATTTTCGCCTGGTTGTCGACAGTATGGATGAAAATTTTAGGGTAGGGTTAGCAGTATTTAAAAAGAGTAAACTATGGTTAACCTGTATTTTTAAATGTCTGCTCGTGTGTTTTGAAACGAAGATTTTGTTGCCTTTAGGAATTTGTTAATTGGCTGTTAATAGAACATCATTGTAATCTGATTAGTTAAATCCAGTCTAACACAAACAGTTTTGATTTGATGTTAAAATCTGCATTTTACCATCAAAACATTCTGTCGGATGGTTCCAGCACTGTGTAGTATTAAATTGTAATTATACGAAAAAAAACTCCATCAGTCGTGGTCGAATACCATAAGAAAGTACTGGTTGTTATTTAACATTGAAATGAACAGTTAAACCAATTTTCTTATTGATCACATAGAGACTGGACTAAATTTTTATTCATGTAAATTGATTTCATCAATTATCCTAACTTAAGATAATCGGTAGAGAAATTACAAGTGATTGGAAAAACTGTGCAATATCATATCAAGAAAACTACTTATCAGATAGCACTTTTCAATGTCAATAGTTAATTACTGTACCTGAAAACTAAATAACTAAAAACAATTCACAATGAAGAAATTATTGTCCATCTAATTGTTTAAATAAGTTATATTAATTTACTTTGTGACTTAAATTCATTATGTGTTACTTTTACGTAATCTCTGTTAGCGATCTTTAACGCTCGAGTAATTGACACGCTACCAGACACAACATAGTCAAGAACACGTTATCGGTGTTCGTGACAATATTTTCAACGATTGATCTAGTGTTTCATTATTAACGTATACTGTGCATATTTTGCAGAAAAAAACATTGAATGTTCAGCGGTGCCTTTTACATCACTTAACAAAATCTTAAATCGATAGATACCATTTTAAAATTACTTATTTCACTGGATAAAAAGTTATGATATTTTTTTATAGATAGCATGACAAAATGTAAAAAGTAAAAGGAAAAGCGCAGCAACAGTCAGAAGATCGAGTTTACAATTATTATTATTATTATTATTATTATTTTATTTCGTATTTGAAAATATCCCTTCCTCCTCTCTAATTGTTTCCCATATCCCTACAATTTTATTCATAATCGTTTTTTTACACTAACTTATTTAAACCCCTCCATTATTTATAATCGATATCACAAAAAACTATTTTAATTACTTTATTACTCTATTCACATTATAATCCGTTGCTAACTAATTATGAATTTGACATGCTTTTTTATGTGCACATTGTTATTATTTGCACAATATAGTCAAGAGATCAATTAGCTGGGCATTGTGTTTTACATTTACAATTACTCAACTGAACTCTTCATGTTAGTCATTTCAACTTCAACAATTTATATAACAAATAATCCTTATTTCACATGATATAATTTTGTTTGAAAGCTGGCCATTTTTTTGAATTGATTATTCAGATATATAATTATTATTAGTTATTATTATCATTTATTAGTAATTATCTTTTACTAATGAGCTGTACCATGTCCGTGTATCGTGCATTTTGTAGTAGTTGCTTTGTGCTCACACACACATATACATTCATCCCACAATGTTTATTATTATTGCTTTACAAAAAAGTGAACTTGTCGTGACAATTTCTCTTGTAACTTTGACCTTTTGAAGTGCGTTTGAATAAAAATCTATCAGTACTATCTTGTAACCATTCAGTTGCATAACTTGACTAACATTGAAATGAATTGTTCTTATTACTTCGTAGCTAAATGAAGTCCTAAATATAAGTTGTGTGTTGATTGTTAATCATCAACAAAGTGTATCTGTGATCTCTTAAAAACATCACTAAAGATTCGAACCAATTTCATGTAGTATTAGAGTATGTTACGCATGCACGTAAACATGTCATTTTTATATGCTTGAACTATTACGAGTTTACCTTAGTCGGAAAACAAGAGCAACGCAACATGCTACTCTAATCCGATTGTCCCAACCGCCTTTAAATAAAAGAAGAAGCCTTGATATGAAGTAGAACCTGTATGGTACAAATATCCAGAAAGTACGAGTCCGGAATCAGGATCCCGGACTAAGGACCCGGTTCCGGGTCCTGGTCAAAAAACGTCACAGATAATGCTTATTTATACAGCGTCGAAGTCTCTAAAATTGACAGTTAAGACGACCAATAAGAAACAACATTGGAGTACGTGACATTGATAGTCAGGACAACCATAAAATTGACCAGTAGCAATTAACCAATAGGAATTGACTAGTAATAATTCTCTTAGGATATTGGATGAATATCCTGACAGAGTATAAAGTTGTTGACACCAAACTATTAAATTTCGAGTTGTTTTTTTTTAGAACGCTAATGATTACGTGAATCAGTAATTTACAATTTACTGACTTTTCAATTTTATTGCATACAGTTATTCAATGTTCATTGTGTAAAGTAATCAATACATGTTCGTTTAAAGTAATAATTAATTGGTTTTTCTTTTTTCATTTCATCAGTATGCATATTATAAACGATTATGTCAAGCTGCACTTTTAATTCAAAATCAATATCGTTGGTATAGAAATCAAAAGAAAAATGGTAATAGCGTAGGAGTTTCAACTGGTTCTAAATATCGAAAACCAAGATCAAGTCAATGTAACAATCCACGATACAGGTTTGTGTTTTTTAAACATTAGTTGTTCTCATATTAAGATTTTGCACTGCATCAATACATATTTATTATGTTTTATGTCTTTTTTTTTACAAAATCTAGTTGGTTAGAGTCTTTATGATTATCATGACTAGTAGATAGATATAATTCGGGTGACATGACTCGAAATTGTTCGTATTGCCATTAAATGTACTCAGTGTTTGTCATTTTTTAGAAACTGAGTCGCGAAATCTCCTTACACCTTTTTTCTGTATCTAATTTTTTCTATTACTACCACTACTACTACTGATACAGTTACCTCATTGGGATTTATTTATCATTAATTTTACCTCATTATGTTAATGTGTGGCATGATAACTTGATCTGATGTACATAGATTTCAAGTCCTACATTTGCATATGACTAACTGATTAACTGATCTCTTTCATCATCTGAAGTCTTGATTTGTAGTTGATATTTTAAAAAATTAATAAGAACAGAAGTGTTAACCACGAGTTCACCACTATTTGATAGAACATGGGATGATGCTGTGTAATTTGAAAGTGTTTCAACCAATGACTGGACTTAATTGAAAAATTACAACAATTTGATGATTGTGTTGTTTTACATGGAGTTATGCCGAAGTCATTTAAACCTTCGCAGTAATAAGTTTGATTATTAATCCTTTTATATTATTAAATCATCTATTTAAGAAGACATCACCATTTCAGATCAATGTCAGTTGCTATGAAACCAATATTCAAATGATTAGGACGTCCATGGCTAAAGTACTTCATACACACTTATCACATCAATACACATAAGATTTTGGACCACCATTAAAAACCTGAAAGCACTGGACGGCCGTTTGGTCCTAGTATGGGACTCATCAGCAGTGCGCATCTACGTCTCCTGCTCCCGACAGGATTCGAGCCCAGGACCTTCGGTCTGGTGCGCGAACGCCTAACCTCCGGACCCTTGGACCGTCATGCAACGCTGTTAATGTCAGTGTGTAAAAGTCAATAATCTCCATCACTCTAATTGACAAAAAAATAAACTGTCTCTTTCTTGACCTAAATAGTAAAGGATTAGCACGATCAGATTTGTTTGCATTGCAGTGTAATGCTTTATTTTGTTTTATTGTACTATTTTAAAATTAAATTAATTTTAATTCGTTTATTTATTGATTGAGAAGCAATGGGCAAATACTTCATCTCAGTACGGATCTCTTCCACCGAAAACCAAATAAAACTTGTAAATCATTGGATGCTGACAACAATTCAGTTTTCTACTCATTTGACATATTACAAATGGATTATTATTATTATTATTATTATTATTATTATTATTATTATTATTGCATACTTGTCCCAACAGTATTTTTCTCCATGTAGACAAATACACAAAGATACGTTTAAACTGCTTCTATACATTGTGAATAATGTATATTGCTTTTTTTTTACTTTATTTTGTTCTTTTCCAGGTCAACGTGTACACGTAAACCAAAAGTGAATAATAATGCAGTTGGTGAAGTAAATATTGAGTAAGATTAATCAATCTAATGCATTCACGTTGTCTTCTCATTATATAGTTTTTATACCTTTTTTGAATGAACATTTAGTTTACTGTAATATAACAAAGTCGGTCTTTGTGTCTGTACCGTGTTAAATAACATTGTATACATATCGTTGTATGCTGACCCCAGTCAGTGGTTCGAGAGTTAAGTGTTCTTGTGCGGAACTAAAGGTCTTGGGTTCGATTCTCGCGTGCAGGGTTTTACATGTGCACTGCCGAGGATTCTCATACCAGGAATAAATAGCCATCTGGTTCTTTCAGGTTTATAATAATGGTGACCTCAGTGATATTGCATACAGTGTTTACTAAACATACTAACATAAAAAAGTGAAGTTTACTGTCAGTAAAGATAAGTGTATTGAAAAATTGACTGGTTGATATAACTTTGAGGAGAGGATAGTGATGCCTACCTAATATTAACTTGCTACCTAGCTATCCTTTCTTATGCATAATTTTTTTATTAACAATTTTCTATTCAGTTTAATCATAACATTCATCAAATCAATGGAAGTATTTGAACAATCAGCAGCAGTTATCATTTTTCTTTTCAATGTGAACGTGTTACTGTTTGTGTTTATTCCCCTTTCTAAGCGTATATCCTCTGCTTTCTTGACTTAATACACCTTATTTAGTGTCCGTCTCCGAAAACCTTTAATCTCAGTAAGTAATGATAATCATTTACGAATAAAGTAAAATAAACAGTAACAACAATGTAGTATTGATTGTATTGTGAATATTTTTGTAATTCTTCTATCGTACTTTTTTTCATATGGATGTCTTTTATGGTGTATTTTGTTGTAAAATGTTCAATTATGTTGTTTTGTTTGTGCTAAGAATGTTACTGATTTCATGGAACAAATTCATTGCACAAGTTAAAATATTACTGAAATCATTTAGAGGTGTATAAAATAAAATCTAGGAAATATATGTTTTAACCTAAATTGTTACTATATTCTATGTTCATGTTTTGTTGAAAGCAATTTAAAGGGAACTCATTTCCTGTTGTTGAATGATACTTGATAAAGATTAATTGAGTTGAAAGATTGTTTTTTTTTATGTTATTAATAGACTGCACAGCTAGTATTATTATTATTATACAATTGGATTTCGACTCTAAAGTTTACTGTCTTTTCGTAATGAACACTACCATCACATCATTGGTCTATTTGTTGTAAATGTGTTGTTGTCTGTACAGTTTATGCTTAATATCAGTGTGTTTTTAATTTGAATTATCTTTTACCGTACGTAATATGATTAATTATATCCTATTTCTTTATTCGTTACTCAATATTCTGTAGATTTCTGGACGTATAAGACATCGATCAGCTACCCGGTTATCATCATCATTCAACAATACTCCTTACATCTCTTTACCGAATTCCCATCATATAAATCCACCTTCAAGATTTATTTGTTTTGAAGAGCATTTAATTGAATCCTATGACAATCATCAACAACGTTATTCAAATAATTCATCTGTTGTTTAAAATGTTAGTTAATTGATTGCTTTTAACCAATGTATTTCTAGTTCGCTCAATATTTTTCTTCTTATTGCTGTTGTTATTGTCCTGATATTGTTCCTATTCATTTTTTGTTTGTTCAATTGTTAGTAGATAAATATGCTAGAATTATTTAGTTTATAATATGCATTTGATATATACTACTTATAAATAAATAAATATATATATATATATGCAATAGATACAAAAAATGATTTTTCTTCATTTGTTTACTTTTCCTTTAATAATTTCGAACAATTTGCTCACAAGTGATAAAATTAATTTTTAATTATTTTTTGTCAACTTTGTCAGTGATAACAATGTTAGAGATATAATATCACATTATTTTAATCGCTTTTGACAGCTACATATTCCTTTATATTTTTCTGACTCTTTTTTTTTGAAAAAAATGTTATCTCTATGTGTGTATGTATATGTGCATGTGTAGCAGCTATTTGTTCATTTCAGTTCCTCTTCATTTTTAAATTACCCAACTATAATCTGCCTCTTTTGTTTATGCACACTGCTTTCGTTACTCTTTTTTCATTAAACCCTGTATTCCAGATAGATAATTTATCTGTTGTTTGTCTTGTCAGTTATTTTACTCTTACGCTTTTGTGTCTTACTCTCTCATCTTGATAATCACCAAAAATCAACACACACATACAGCAATAATAGCACTATCACCGACACTTGGTTTCGTCTTTTTCCTTCCGAGTTTTTTTTTGTTTGGTTTAGAATTTTGTTCCTAGAATTCCTTGTTTTGTTTTGTTTAGTTCAATTTTTTTTGCCTTTCCTCCGAAAATTCCCTACTCATCAATTAATGATGATTGATCGCATTCACGCACAAATAAAAAGAGTCCCTCTTAATTTGAAAAAAAACAATAACTGCTCATACAGATGGCAATTTATTTATCTTTAATATATATTACTAGTTCTTTTTTTTATTTACTCAAACAGAGATGGAGAAGTATGGAAAATGAAGTCATTAATAATTATAGTACATATAATCACTGATGTTTTCCTTCCAGTTTTTTTTCTGTTAATTGACGGATTAGTATGATTCATAATAATTGTATTTGTCTTACATCATCAATTGTTGTCAGAATAGTAAAAGGTGTGATGAATTCAATAATGTTTTGCATAGAAATGAAATGAAAGTATGTGAAGTTATCCTATTTTATAGTATGGGATGAGATATGTAATAGTGTACATGTCCACGTTGTTACACTGTTTGAAGTAGCTATGATAGAAATAAATCAATAAAGCCAAGAAAGAACAAGGGAAATATGGATGCGAGTAGATAATAAATAATGTGACTTCACTCTTTATGATTATTATTAATTATAGTATTCAGTCACTTATTTCTATTATGAAAAATCTGAAATATGAAGTGGCAATATTGACAATGAAACGACCGTATAATTGTGAAACCTCTCTCCAGTCAATAGGTTGGATGTATAAATCAAACAGAAGAGTGCTATTATCTGATTTTATAAAGATTGTTAGTTCAGTGATCTTAGTACTGAGTAACATTGGTAGATAACTGAGTCGGAATCTATTCATACTGAAGAGGTTTTTTCTGAGTACTCAGAGTCACCTAGAAAATCGTTATTAGCAAATTAACGATCATGCACGAAGATTGTTATCAGTTTCAGTGTTCGTTCTATGGTTACAATCACACGACAACAATCGGTTTCCCCAATATTACATACAAGTAATCAAAAGAATGCATAGCCTGCTGTTAATTTCCTTCAAACTGATGAAAATAAAAATAATCTTTTTATTGATATAAATAAATAAATATATTTGTTCAAAACACAATAAAACATTCCGTCATTATGATTTGTTAATACATGGCAAAAAAAAGAATGAGTATCATGAAAGATTTTCTCATATTATATAATGCATTATGACAGAAATAAGTGCCTACAATGGTTTCTTGTGAGTTTTTTTTCAAAGCATCTCTTGAAAGAAGACAGATTTAAAACACAGAATAACATGATTTAATAAATAAATTCCAAGTATTATCACTACACATAGTTTGTAGAAAAGAAAAGATATATGAAAAGCCAAAAAGAAAACTGTTATGCAACAAATAACGATGCTGACAACAAAAGCAATAACAATGTAAAATAATTATCACAATGAGGGAAATCACTATACACATTATAACCAACTAAACGTTCACACACAGAATTTTTGAAATATATATAGGATGCAATGCTTTTTTTCTTATTTAGCGCGAAAGACAATCAAAAATACAGTATACACAGTTTGTATGTGTGGAAGACCACATGTTTTAATGGATGGATATTATGAGATGTGAAATAATCTTTGAAAATAAAATAGGTGCATAATAGATTCATGAAGTTTCCCTCATATTTACCTAGTTTATTTAATATTCAATAAATAATGCTACTTGTAATACATAAGATTACATTATACTGAGATAATAAATGAAATGATCCGGCCAACAACAATAAGCCCAATTCAAACAACATGCATTCGCCTCTTTTCTTTGTCTACTGTTATTCCGTCCGTGTTTATGGACAAATATACTGAAGCTACAGAACAAATATTCAAAGTTAAGAAAAAAAAGATAAGAAAGAAGAGACATTTAAAAAGTAACATATAACGAAAGGAAGGCAGCTATAAGTTAACCGGATAAAAATGCATATCAAGTAGCATTAGTAAGTATTACAAGTGGCATACAATAGTCATGTGATAATGTCACAGAGTTCACCAAATCTCCATGATAAAAAGAAAAGGATAAGCAATAAAGCTAGAATAAAATAATTAAACAAATTGGACAACAACAAAATAAAACAATAACTTGTTACATACAAAATAAATTTTATAGATTGATTATGATGAATTAATTTTATTATTAAAATGAAGGTAGTAATTATCATAATCATCATTACAACGAAAAGAAAAAAAAGTGACTGTTTCACATTATTCTTCATGTGAAATTACTAAAATCTGTTTTCAACTTAATTGTTGGTAAATTCGATTGAGATTGTTTTGAAATAGTTTGATTATTATGAATCAATGAATTATCATTGATTAATTGAGATTTTGACTGACTGTAATCATGATTATTATTATTATTGTTATTAATTAATGGAGTAGAGAATTTAATGGCATTTTCCAAACGTAGTTTAAAATCATTTAAAATTTGAAATGTTGAACGAAATTCATTTGGATAACATGGAGCTATTGCAATTATATGTTTCAATGTAGTTATATGTATGAAATAAATTAAATCTGATGAATTCATAATAGACATTGAATTATTTTTCAAATTTAATCGATTTAATATAATGGATGATTCATTTGTAAGTAGATTACATAATAATGGTAGATAAATTAATAACAAAACTTGACGATTTGAACTTTCTACAATACGAATTAATGTAGTTAGTAAATCAAATGCTCCATTTAAACACATGACAAGTTCATTGACATTAATTTGATTATTGAATACATCAGATGATCCATTTACTTTCTCTTGTTTAGATGAATACATTTCAACTATATTGGTTAGATCATATAGCCAATGAAATACCTGAAACAGAATGTTTACTGATTCATCAAATGAAGTAATTCATCACGAAACAATAATGCGTTTTATATATAGAAAATATGGTACTTAAACGCTTGATAAATTCACAACTGCTTACTAGATCCCCAGAATAATATACGTGACCTCTGAATAGTAGAGAAAAAGGGGACGTATGGGAATGATCTTTAAATCAAGATTGATTTGTGTACGGAAAGTAAGGGTGGCTGTAAAATTTTGGAAGCTTCTGGAGTCAATTTATTGACAAAGTACGTAATTATTCAAACGAAAAGTGACAATCAATTGCATTACTTTATGGCTGTAAAGCATAGTCTTCGAAAGTATACGATTCTTGATAATACTTATGATCAAAGTATTGTCTGTGGAATAAAGAGTGAGTAATAATAAGGTTAAGCATAGGCTTTTAGGTGAATGTGGAAAATCGACCGATGAGGTAATTTTTTATTGGATGAAATGGTTTGTTCACGTGTTATGCATACTAAACTTGATACGCGATGTTAGCTAGTGCGATCAAACCAAGAAACGGGCATCAGTCTATGAATATTATTACTTTTGTCTTAGCCAAGCTGGTAGATGCAGAAAATCTGAATGGAATCTAATGGATAACCGTAGTTGGAGACATTAAGTAATATGGTTCATAATCATTCAGTTACAGTAAATCTTTACCTTATTCTTGAACTAGGTATAGTATTCTCTTGTAAATATATTTCTTATCTGTCTTTTTCAACCACATTCACAGGGATACGCCTTTTTTTTATTATCACTGCTACTAGATTATTTTTATTTTTTTTTGCAATTTGTCTTCCTAAATTCATATTGTCCGGATAATTTGGTATGGAAACTTAGATCAACTTATATTTGTGCCCGGTTCTCCCTGGATGATGACTAACTAGTATTAATTACTTTATTCTTCCGAACATTTTGATCAATTCTGAATTCAACCAAAATGTTCTTCGTTAGCTGAAATAATTTAGTGTATAATCCTATTAAACAACAAATCAGTAGTATTCAAATTGAAACTCAACATACAATAAAGTCTTCTATTGACCACATGTTGATAATTTATGTGATTATCGGAAGGGGAATCTATCATCATCAGTTCTTCTGCTGCAGCACGTCGTTTATATATTACTGTGAAAGATATTAGTTTAAGAGCGAAATACAAGTTACACTCACTGAACCTAGAGAACGACATACTGAATGATGAGATATGTTCAAATTAACAAAATAAATCTGAAATGTGTTAAGATAACTAATACAACATCTGAAGTAACAAAATTCATGAAATCTTATCGACAGGAAATCTGACAACACAGATTAAAAATGCTTCAATGCATAAGCAATAAGTATTCTAGCAACTTTCAAAGTAATCATTTTATGTATATTACTTTTGGCTACTATTAAGAAAACAGTAGTACGGTGCAAACACTAAATATGTTTAGTTGTCCATTAAAAGGTGTAATAATACAATGAAAAATATTTGCTTACTTGAGGAGTTAATGTTTTGATAAACAGAGATCGAATTGAAGATTCATGATGATTGCACAATAATTCAAATGATCTTAGACATATTATTCGATTTTTCAAAAGTTTCGAATCAAATAATGTAGAAATATTCATTATAAATGGATTTTCCAATGGATTAGAATCTTCAGTCATTTCACCATTTGATAGTTGATTGTGAGAAATTGGAGAGGCAGACCATCCACGACAAAGAAGTGCTATAAGTTCATTGACTAATTCTGATGACTTAAAAATTTGAATAGGACAGCTGCTACATATACGACTGACTAGATAAGATGAGGCTAAGCAGCATCTAGGTAGTGAAGAATTATCATCCTATATAGTTAGAAAAAATAAAGGTACTTATTTAAAGTATGATATATAAGAAGGATTCAACCAAAACCCACTTATCTATTTAAAATAAAAAAATAATATTAAATATTTGTGTGATTGAGAAGTTAATTCTAATTGCAAACGGATAGAAGATGAAGGACAGTTGGAGAGATGTGACAGATATAAACGACAAGATAACATATTAATCTCTTACTGATTGATGGAAACATCATATTCTTTGTTGATTGAATAAGGTCAGAGTCAGAGTCAGTGAATTATATCGTCGTAAAATATGATCAACTATTGTTATAGGATTCGATTGCTTGTGAAATAATGTATGCGTATGTATGTTTGATACTCAGGCGTGTTATACATGAATAGAACAGCTATCCATTCCTTGATAACTTTTAACTTCCCAATTCATATTAGTTCGTAATGAGAAACATCATCTAAAACCATTTATTCAAAGTTGTTATATTTTATTTAATGTCTACTGTAACAATAATAACACTATGCATTAGAAGAAATGCATTACAGAATGACGTATAACATGAGAAAAAGACAATAATTTGACAAAAACAACAGAACGAAATTAAAATAATGAGCCAATTGAGTTATCAGTTAAGTTTAATGTACACTTCATAAGAATAATGAACATATTTTTTTAAAAAATTTAGATAGCTGCTTCTTTGCATTTAAATGCTTCTATTTTCTCATTATGTATACACAGTTACACTATAAATATGCATAACAAAGTTGTGACTTGGGGTTGGAAACCAGTCATATGGATTAGTTAAATAGGATTTCCTAAATAACTAAGGATAAGTTCAGAAGAGTTTCATATTAGTCTACAATCTATAGCGAAATTACCAACTGATTATTTACTGATCCACAATGTAAGACTCAATAATAATATTTGGAAAAAATAACTACAAACAATGATTGCATAATGGGCCATTTCCTGTACTTTTATTATCTTTTGTAAGAATTAGAACATAACTAGTAAATAGTTTGTCATTATAGGGTTGTGGAGATTGTTAAGTTTCATTGAAATCCTGAATCGATCAATGTTCGACTATCATTACAAACCTGGAAGCACTGGACGGCCGTTTCGTCTTACTATAGGGTTCATCAGGAGTGTGCATCCACCCTACCTGCTCGCAGGAATCGAACGTTTAACTTCTAAACCACTGAGTCGGCATCCAACGGTGTCAACGTCTAACGTCGATTAATCCACGGTCTTGCGTGACCTCATCCATTGTCTTCTCGACAGGGTTGATCTCCACTAGTTACGACTTCTCACTAGCACTTGGAGAAATTTCCTCACCAAACTAGTCATATATTTTTGTAGTGATATAAACTACTTTTTGAACATAAATATGGTTGATCAATAAAAAAAGTAAATACATGTTAAGATCAACTTACTTCTGTTTCATTCACATGTTCATGACGAAGAATTGATATAAGGTGAGTTGAAATTAAATGATACCATTCTATGTATGCATTAGATATTGAATCCATAGTTGAGGATTGATTTGAGTCAGAATTCATTGAATCACTACACTGTTCTTTTATATTTGTAGTAATACTACTACTATCTGGTTGGATTTCAGTAGTTTGTGATAAAACCATTGAATAATTATTTCCATTTAAATTTGGATTACGTGAAACTGATGCTAAAGCAGGATAATGATGTGATGCTAATTTTTGTATTAATATTATATAAATTTCAGCTAATTCAGATAATTGTTCATTCCAACCAATCAAATAGTTAGTATCATAATAATAATGTTGATATTTTTGTTGATTTAATTTGATTGGTGTTAATAATTCATTAGAATTAGCATTAGCTATACCAACAGATAAATTAGTTGTCGTTGATGAAATTTCTGTTTCATCTTCATTCATTAAATAAGAAGTGAATAGATTCGATGACTGGCATGTTAAATCATAGGATTTCAATGTGGATAGATTATTATTATTATTATTATTATTATTATTATTATTATTATTATTATTGATACAGTGGTTATGATTTGATTTATTTATTTGTAACTGATCATTAACAAAATAATTCTTCACAATTGAACATTGAATTGGTTTTAACAATAAACTCTGCAAAACAATTGCAAATTAAAAAAACCATACATTCATTTGAACAAACAATTTTTAAATAGAAGAAAACTTGGTAAAAAAAATATATAATGTTGTGAGTAGCTTAAAGCAAGGACAATGATATTAAAGCTAGTTATTAGCCAATTAGAAGACAATTTTTATAAATAGATAGTTGATTGAAAGGAGAACTATTATACTGCAACGTGTGAACAATTGTAACATAATTCATAAATCTATTAGTGCCCTTCTTTACAGGTTACTCAATTCGTCAACAGAAAAATAACAACAATACATAGAGTCATCTTTATGAATACAAATGGTTGGTCTTCTCGAAATCCGAAAACAATCTAAACAAATTTTTAAGACTCCCTACGTTGATTTAGTTACATATTTAGGGTATGAGTTTGGGATTACGGTTTTCAATCACAAAATAATGTCAGTTTTAATGCGCTTTAGCCACATGGGTGTACGAATTTCGTGCAAAAACACAGGGGGTGCAATTTGAGTAACTCACGTATAAAATGAAATGCCATCTAATTAGGGTTTGTTTCAAAACTAAAGATATAGTGAATAGTATCGATTTGGTTGACACACAATCTGAAGGGATACATTTGACATCATTTATATTTTTGTTCGGTGGTTAAAAAAAATGATTTTCCCACTATCGTATAAAAACATAGTTCCATTGCTTGTTAAGTGTGGTGTTCGAAATACGGACAAAAACCTAAAAAATCGTGCTCTCGGTTCTGATTGGTTCGTTTTCTAAATTTATGTTCACTAAAATTTTTAGCAAAACCTTATCTTATATAGCAAAGTCAAAAAGCTATGAGGAACATGCGAATTAGTATTCAATAAAGCAATTACAACTAGTCAGGTAACCTTGGAGAATAAATAGTTAGTGAAATGATGAGACAGAATTGCATAGCAAGTGAATGTATGTGGCGGTTTTTTCCTTGGTGATATATATAGTTTAATTGCCGTTCTAGATATCATCAATACCTAATTGATAGTAAAAGTAACCACTTCAGTTACTTCACCATAAATATCCTACCAGTTTTTCCTGATAACCTTCATTGTGGTTACAGGAACAAAACCCACGAAAACAAGCCATCACAAACGAAATGATCTAACGCTCGTGGAAAAAAATGAAAAGCTCACTTCCAGATTAAAGTAAGCTTTGATGATATTGTTTAAAATAACAAAGAAAGTTTCTCGAATCAAAATATCTAGCTTAAAAAATACAACACTATCATAAATAGTTAGTATAACAAATATCTCTGATTTATCATGAATATCAATCAGTCATATAAATACCGCATTGATGAGTGCTATGAAAGTATAACTTTTGGGTCCATCTTTCTAAGAATTATTGATTCTGTTTCTTAATGTACAATTGTGAAACATTAAAATAAGTGTACGTACACACAATTGTAGTTGTAAGCTTTTGTTTGGTGAATGAACTATTGTTCTGTGTTTTACATTTCTTATGTTATGCAACCAGTATTCAATTCTCGTTTATTTATAACATAGTTATGCCTATCTTGTAATTTCTTCTTTCTACATTAATGTGTGATCCATAAATTAATCTGTATTATCACACTAGTCTAGGTTATGGATTGAGCCGTACAAATCATCTGCTTCCAATGTTACATTGGCTATAGGCAAGCGAGCGTTGGAAAACTGTATCCCATAAAATAAACGCCTCACTTAAATTTTAATCTAACCAGTAGAAGTGCATCACTAACCAAAGCTCCATGATGCTAGACTATAAACGAAAAAGTACTAGTAAGGCACGGAAATATTACAGAATACTTCATAGTGAATTTATTTTACTTATATTTCAATCAACCTTTCCATGAGGGTACAAGTAATTTTCACATATACAATACGAGAGATAAATATAAAGGACTATAAAACTAGTATATCACGGTGGTAATGAGATTGATGCCTACTTTTTCACAAGATTAGTTCGTTGATCTGTTTATAAGTAACGACTCTTGAAAGTAATCAACAGGAATTCATACAGCTTGTGAAATGTGAATTCATGCTATTCAATGTAGTGACTTATATCTGACTGCTTAAATAACTAGAAAAGTTAGAGCAAAACGGTTACTACTGAGCAATCAGTCAGTATAATAATTTGTGATAAAATGTAGTAGTCTCCTAACCTATTAACTGGTTAGATAAGTTAATCGATAATCAATAAACTTTATCATCCATCCTCTGAACATAATCTATGATTACACGTAAAGTATTATAAGAAAAATCATCATGAACACATTTTATTGGAATTTATTTGTGTATTTTTAAAAAGAAAATAAATTACACAACTAACCTTTGTTATTTCTTGAGATAAATCTAATAGAATTGGTAATAGACATTCATGTTGACCGTTTGATATTTGTGTTGGCGTATTCGATTGATTTGTTTCACTTTCTACATTCATATTATTATTTACACAATCACTGGATCGAGAATTTGAATTTTGTTTAGCAAGTCTTAATGTACTCAAAAGAGTTCTTGGAGCGCATAGATCAATTAATGGGATTAAACATTTCAAAGCTGTAGCTAGAACCAATGGAGCATTTACATCGGAAGAGCATGTTGTCTCTGGAATAATATGATCTTAAGATAAAAAAAAATAACAAAGATATATGTATATATACATACGATGTACTATTCGTATATAAATAATTCATCAATTTATTTAACAACAATATTTGAAAAAAAAGAAACATGAATTAAAACTTATTCCACAAGAAAGTATAAAAAATTATAAAAGTGAAAACTACTATAAAAGGAAAAAATAATAAATTCTTTCTATTTGGAAAAAAACTAGCTCATTATTGAATAGGACAATGTATAATACACCGATTTATTGAGGTTGCATAATTCAAATTATTTGTTTAAAGCTAATCAATTAAAATAAATACTGTTACTGTTACGCATGCGCATGACCACGTCATTTGATTCGCTTGAACTGTTACGAGTTCACCTTAGTCAGTAAACGAGAGTGAGACAATGATCCAGTGACACGATAGGCTACTCTAATCCGAGTGTCCCAAACTCCCATCGAATAGAAGAAGAAGACTTGATATGAAGTAGAACGTGTATTCTACAAGCATCCAGAAAATACGACATCCGAGTTCAGAAGAGGCTAAGGATTCGGGTCATAAAACGTGACAGATAATGCATATTTACACAGTTAGGTCGAATAGGAAACAATTTTGAAGTATGTGACATTGATAGTTAGGATGACCAATAGAATTAGACTTACAAATAATCCTCTTAGGATATTTGGTAAATATCCTAACAGTTACAACCGACTGTAATAAATGAATCATTCTGAAGAATAATAGGATGGATAGATCCAGTGTTAACACAAGTTCAAGTTTGGATGAAATAGAGGCTTCCTACAGTTTATTGTTAATCACACTCCAACACTTCAATAACAACTCATGATAGATTTTTATCAGATAAAAAAATATAATTAAATTGTAATTTTCTTTAAGCAAGAAAAAAGCACGCGATAACATAACTTACTTTTACACTCAATATCATCTTTAGTATTGAATAGACGAAATTGTTGAATAATTTGTGGTTGATAACGTGCCACTATACAAACAACAATTTCTAAACATGTAAATACAATTGATCGTTCAGGATGTAAACCAGCAAATGTTTTCTCACCATATTTATGATTATTATTATTATTATTGTTATTCATTTGACAGTCATCAGAATCCATATTATAATTATTGGTGACACGATCAAAGAATTTTGCTAAATAACCTCCATCACCATGCTCATATAATTGAGCATCAATTAAACCGGTCGTTTGTAACATGATACTTGATGTCATACAATTAGTTGTGGAATTTTGTGATTCCGGTGAAATAAACATACTCGATGCATTTTGTGTTGATTCTTTAAGAGATTAAAAAACCGAAAGAAAGCAAGAAAGAAAGAGAGAAATAATGAATCAAACAAAAATTTCTTTTTGAAAAAAATATGCAAATTTTGATACGATGACTAATGTGTAGTTGATGGATAAGAATTGCACAACTCCAGTGAATACTTTTATTGATGTGTTCTATAAGCTAATAGTGATATATTCAGTGATATTGATAAAGTAAGAGTTACAATGAATGCTGTGCATCCAAAATCACCTACCTCAAGGAACACAGTTAAATCAAATTAGAAAAATATTTTCTATTTAATTTTAACATGAATTAATTATTAATAAATGTACAGACATTACACGAACATTAATTGATTTAGGTCTAAGTGGATTTGAACTAGTAAGTAAAACATATTCATGTTACACTTCACCTCTATGTCCATGTAAAAATAATAGGTTATTGAAATACATCCACTATTTACTCTTTCCCATCATCCACTCTGTGTGTTCTATGAAATTTTAAGCTTCTGCATTCTTGATAATCTCTACCTTTCCCGTTCTAAATTTATCTTACTGAATTATACTTCTCGAGTCATATCTTTGCTCCCTAATCTTCTCCATTATTGCTATCACTCTTGGATTTGAACTGACAGCTGCGTCTCTGTGCTGATGGGGCATGGAAACCTGAACTGATGTACTTACATACGAAGTTCTGCGTTGTATCTGTCTTACTCTTTCCCATCAACATCAAGTAGAAAACATTAAGTATGGATATTTACTTAACAGTTTATAACTGAAATGACTATTATCAGGAAGACAATGTAGGGATAAGCCAATCAGAGTTGAGAACGCGACTAGTCGGTTTTGGCGTGAAATTCAAAAATCATGTGAAATAAGAAGTAAAAATACTTCTATGAACTGCTTTAAACATGAGACCAGGTACGTTTAATGTCTAAACAACTCTCATTCTACAATTTATATGACACCATCTCTTTATAAAAAAAATTCATTGAGATTACGCTTGAAATTAGTATAAATAAAACAGTTTCTAATAAAGAAAATATCATTATTATTAATGTATGATTATACATTACCTTTAGTTAACCAATTATCACGCTCTTTAATTAAACGTTCATTAGCAGCGATCAAAATGTGAATCACATTGGCTAAGCACAATAAATGTGTTTCTACGCAATCTCGAGTAAGTATAATTCTAAAAGTAGTAACATTTTATATTTTAAAAATAAAAAAAGAAGAAAACGTAAAGAAACTGTACTAGAAACATCCAAAAATTAAAAAAAAAACTTAATAAATCAACAGAGAAATATATACCATTATTTTATTTGTATTGGTTGTTTGAATCTTTCCATTGACACTTACGATTACAAAGCATCATTCTCTTTGGTACATGTACATCCTGTACGGATTACCTCGACATTGGCCTTTAGAGTACAAGCATTGGTAGTAGAAGTGGAGAGTGGATAGCAATGGAATCTAGTAGTGAAGATTAAATCTGAGATGCAGGTACATCTAACCCAAATAGAACAAAACACTGGTCCTGGATTTCATTGCTGGCCACTATACCCACCTGTGCTAATAGTACTACAATGTGATTATAACACTGTATTTTGAGAAATGCAATTGATCGCAGAATTATATAACTCCTGATATTTAAGAACACTGCATGTGTTAGTATGGAGTCAAGATGTAATAATGTGATCGTATTCATTTTATAATAAGTTAAAAACATAAACATTGAATATGCATGCATTTATATCAACTGTATTTTTGAACAATAGATATACATGGTAAATATGAATTAAACGATCTGTATAACAAAGCAGATGTTCGTTTGCTTAAACAACCAAACACAAAACAAGTGGTATGGAGGTCCACATGAAACACACAATCTAAGTGGTAGATATCTTGAAGAAAGTATTAGAGCTAGAGAAAGTTTCGGTTGCTATAAACATTTTTAGTCAACTGGCTGGTGGAAGCATTTAAGTCCAAACACCTTTCATCGAACTACTAAACGAGCTCCACACAACTTAATGTCTAGGTATTATTGAGAAGTGAAACTATGTATTACCGAATTCGCTATGATGCTCGAAAAGTGTCCACTTCTATGTACAATTGTTAGCAACTAGTAACAGTGAAATGGTAGACAGCAATACTTGAAGACTTGTATAGTGTACAAAACGTTTCGCTAAGCAAGCTTATTGCAATTGCACTTTTTCTTCTGGAAACCATTTCTGATTACTACCTATCCAAATTCACTGTTCAAAGGGATGTGTGAATACCAATCCTTTATAATAAAAAAAGTCCAGCACGATATTATTGTTAAATGATGTAGCTAAACTGGTTGGAATAGAAAGAACAGTTATTCAGTTAAAGATATCCTCCGTCAGTGTAATATCCTTACGGATATCAGTTACTAGAATTGAAACTGTTTATTGAGTGTTAGTAAGTAGAACATGCTCATAAACAAAGGAGAATCATGTAGAGAAAGAACAAAGATAGAGAACATGAACAGATTTAACATATGACATGTCTTGTCGTAGTTGCCGCTTGCGGTTTTCAAACTTACTATTACAATAATCAGCATTGAAAATTAGAATAAACAATGGTTCGGAATAATTGACTGCATAAAACTGAAGCTTAGTAAATTAGGTACTCAACTTTCAATCAGCAAATTATAAGTTTGAGCAACTTTTTTTCATCTTTAGAAGTTTGATAAATCGTATTTAGCTAATAACAGTCTAGTTACAGAGTAAAGGTAATTTCTGGCGGACAATATATAAATAATCAATTCATTGTGTATAAAATTTCAACGCACGCGCACATACACACAGAAGTATAAGCATTGAATTTTAACAATTCTTGTAATTTTTCTATGTTTTATTTATGAAAAAGGAATACAAGGAATTCATTGAACTAACAGCCAATAAGTGTACTACTAGAGGGTGTGATGACTAAAAAAGAAAACTAGTATTGATTAAATTATGGCAAATGTTCATTTTCAAATGGATGTGACATGGATGTATACACATGACTTAGTCTGTCTCCATAGAGAGTCAATAAAAAAACATAAATAATTGAGTAATAAATAACAGTAATCCATTAAACTTCATAAATGGGAAAAGGAGAGCTTCTTGATACTTTCAAATGTATGAATAAGGGGAAGCAATAAAAACTTTATTTACTCAATTTGTTTTTCTTGCAACATATCAAATAAATTACAGTAATAAATCAAATGACAAACTTACCGATGTAATATTTGTAATAATTCAATAGATATTTCAGTTGATGATTGCATTAGATAAGCACGAAATTTCGATTTATTTAATAAGCAGAGAATACAACGCAAGCATATATGAATAATGGATATTGGTTGCTTTGATGTTGGATTACACATTGCTTCTACACACATACCTTTAAAAGATTTTTTTTAGAAAAAAATAGTAAAAGAATGATAAATAAGCACTCAAAAAACACACAATTGCCATCATCAATGGTAAAATAGTAGACTGAAACATAAAAAATCACATCGAATTATATTGAATGATGATGAATATTCCTGAAAGGTACCATTATAACCATTGACGCTGGTTTCTTTCTCTGAAAAAAAGAGGAGTTAGTATCGACTAAGACGAAAACCTCATAGATTTGCGATGCTGTTCGTAAGATTTGTTAAATAATAAACAGAACTAATTCCACCATAGTCGCCATATCTGAAAATACTATATATATTGATAGCTTCAAGGTTCTCTTACTGGAAGTTTGTATGATCGTTTAAGATTGATTTCCCTCTCAATCTTGCAGAGATATTTCAACACGACATAAAAAATAAACATTTTAAATTGATAACTGTCACTATATTGAACATAAAAGTTCGGAAACATTATTACCAAGATATAACTTGGTAATTGACCTTTCAGTGGATTTTTTTCCAAATAATCTATTTCAACTAACATTTGATACAATTCGACGATTAATTAATTTATTTTTGAAGCAGTAACTTACAATGAGTTATGCATAATCGGAAATTCCATCATCTACATACACTACGAGGATATTACAAATACATTATTTTATTAACATAGATTCAACATATATAAAAGTAAAGAAAATCAATTAGACATAAAAAGGAATGGAATTACAGTGAAAAATACTAAGATTTTTTTTAAAAAAAAAATCTTGTCTTGAATTTGGATATTAGAAATATTGATAAAATAGAGAGAAAAAGTTCACAAACCCAGTACATGAACTTAATATTAGTTAACTGAGTTAGTGATTTATATGAAAATTTAGGTTACAGTAGAATTTTTTTTTCACATAAACTTGAAGCGAAACAATTAACGCCCTGTTAGTGATTTTCTCTATCATCGTATCATAAAAAATAAGTTAAATGTAAAACTTCGTTATGAAACCATTGTATTTAAGTAGTCAGAGAGATAAAATGTGGAAAATAATTCAAGCTGTTAAAAAAATGAATACGACATCGGCTCAATAATAAAAATCTGCAAACTTTATGTAACCAACTCAAACTCCCGTTCATATCATTCTGTTTGATCAATTTAGCAGCAGTATTTCTACTTGTTGCCGAACAACTAAAGTCTGTACTTGAAAAATTAAAGTTGTATTTAAATAGTGTGTAATAAGATGATGAAGAACTATGTGTAATCATACATACTGACGTAATACATTTTGAATGATCTGATCAAACATTAACAATATTTAGATGTAAAAAAAATCAACTAGGCAAATGGAAGACAAGAAGAAACAAACAAAATACAGAATGTAATGTTAGTTTCAAAAAAAATTATCAGCTGATGTTGAAATAAAAGCGAACTGAAGAATTAATTGAAAATATGTCCATTTATAAGAAACATGTGGATGATAAAAAAAGAAGGATATGAATTATTTGTTGAATAAACCTAACACTCTTCAAAATCACATCAACCTATCATGTGAAGAAGAGAACAACCAGCTTTCTTCTCTAAACATATTTATAAATAGACAAAAAGATGGTTCAATCAAACGATCCAATTTTAGAAAGATAATTTTGACAGGCCAGTACTTCAGTTATCATAATTATCGCTCAGTTCAATACAAACCGGGTTTGATTAAAGGGGTGTTTATAAAAAGATTGGTCGTATTTGTATAAACGATGCTACTGAAAACGAAGTGAGGTGTTAAAACAAACAATGATGGTAAATGGTTACCCTTCACAATCCATAGATCGATGGATAGTAAAATTTACTATATTTTGGCACAGAAAAAGCCCGTTTATATCAACCTACCGTTCAGAGGTGAGTCGAATAGACTCACATTGAAACAAAGGCTCAAATCTGTTATCAGCAGAATGTACTACACAGAAAAGGTCATTATCACAGAATAAACAAGGACCATACTTCATCGAAAACCTAAAAAGTACGTGAACGACTACATTATATCTCACTGTGTTTATCAATTAAAAGATGTGTGATTATTTAAAAATAATCAGAAACACAACACATCACAATCACAAATTACTACTTACCTAGAATTAAAAAGAATTGTCGAGCTGTTTTAGACATTTCATTCTTTGGTAAATTTATATCAATCTCTTCTGTGCATAATTCATTATTACTTAACCATAAAGCTAATGCATACATCATACAAGGCCAATAACGAGCATAATATCCATGTATTTGATTTACATTATAATTAACAGAACTATTATTGACATTTGATACATGTTTACCATTTATGATTAAGTGTTGATTTGATAAATTCTCTGGTAAACATATATATGCATAATTTTTTAATGAATCTAACCAAGCATTACTTAAACTTGGTAGAATTGGTTGAATCCATTTGGTTAATAAATGACAGATAAATTTACTTGATACTTCTTTAGAATTACTCCATTGAACATAAAGATCCGGTTTACAAACTAACAGGAAAATAAACAAACATTTATAGAAAATATGAAAGTAGAAGTAAATCCAAAGTCCTGATATACTAATGAATTCAAAATAGTTAATTGAGTGATTGTTATTTCCTTTAAATCAGATGTCTAACCCCAAGAGCCTATGAGAAGACCTTAACCATGGGGTCGATTAAACAGACAACTATGCTTGTATGATATCAAGTTGAGTATGGGCCAGATCACATTTTAATTGGGAAAAGAAGGCTAGGGATAAGAAGAAACTAAAATGTGATTCATTTAACCAGCGCCGTTGTGACCGATTCTCAAATTGATAACTCAAGGTCCCCAACCATCAACCAACATGAGTAGACCAATAGTGAAATAAAAGCTTGAAATAAGTGTCACTGGAATAGTAAATTTTACAACATGATATTATAAAAAGTCCCCATTCTACATAGATTCTAGGCAGGTGGTACTAAACCCGTGCTTTAGAAACTCGTGCATAACATAAGAAATCAAAATTTCTTTTTATGTGTTTCAAGATTGTAGAACTGATCGAAATATAACCCTTATTATGTAGTAAATGATATGAAATGTGAATGGATATGTGTATAGCTATTTACAAAAAATGTACAAATGCACAGCTTTTCAATTCATAACAAGCAGAAGCTTCTTTGTAATGTAATTTATTGTTTGTCAGTCGGCAAATGATTTGATCAACAATTTTAAATCTATCCATTAACTGGGTTTTCTTTAAACAATAAATTTATTTTCCAAAAAATAGTCTATTTATTAATAAAGGTTAACTTAGTTAGGAACAACTAATTAAGTATTTAAACTAACCAGCTGATTTGATATCTTCTATTGATATTCCTTTAGTGATCATACTATAGTCGGAATCATCTTCAATTTCGTTCACACCATTCATCAGATCATCTGATTCATCATCCGCCAATTGTTCATCATCTAAAGGCTGAGATGATTGACTAGTGACTAGATGTTGTTGCTTTTGACGCAATTTATTTCCATATCTTTTAGTTTGTTCAGCTATTAAAATATAAACTTCAGCCCAAGCAGCTAAAATAGATAGTTTTTCAACGATTGTAGAATTTTCAGATATCCACTGAGATGATTCTACTCGTTCAGTCTGTGGAGATATATCAGTGACTGTGTTAAGTTTTAACTTATCAAGTGCTTGTTTAAGGAGATCTTGTACACGACGTAAATCTTCTGGATCACGACCAACTCCAGAAGTAAGCCATGTACTGCAAACTTGACATGCTACAGATAATAGTTCAGGATTAGGTTGAGTTAGGTTAGATGAGAGGGAATTATTATTAGTTGAAGATTGAGCAATCGTTGTATTGTCGAATGAATTCAACGATGAACTATGCACAAATGCTGGTCGTAGTGCAGCTGAAACTTGAGCTTGATACTGTTCCAAAATAACATGATCTGAAAATAATTTCCGGAGAAAATAACGAGTTGGACAGAAATTTATTAAAATATTTTATTTCTGTCAAGAAAAAACTCAATACTCAATACTAACATTTACGTGAATTAATTCTTGGGCATTTTGTCAGGTATCATAAGTCTGTAGAACAAATAATTTAGAGTAACTTTACAGTTCATCTTTTTGTCGAAATATAACTTTGACTAACGTAGAGAATTAGTATGAAAAGTCTAAGAAAAATATTTTAATGTACAGTCATAAACATTCAAAACAGAGAAGTTAACATACGCCAAAACAAAATTGAGGAAGAAATAGGAAGCAATAAGAATACAATACAAAGCAAAGCAAAGAAGTGAATATGAAAGAATTAAAGAGTGAATACTATTTGTGCATAGCAGATTTGAATTTCCGCGCGTTTCTAACCGTTATCAATATTTATTACTTTAAGCAGATAGCAAACAGTTTCTACAAAGCTGAACTAAATACTAATCATATCTGTCACTAAAAAGTTGCATTATTCACTATTATTGATAAAAATAGTGACTGCACGCGTGTTAAATATGGATGGATATCGATTGGAGAATCAGAAAACATTCACCAACGATCTTGTTGTGGTTTTAGACTTCTCAGCAGTAAGCAGCGGCAACAATACATCAGATAAAATCCAAAACTCATAGATATTATCTGATAATGAGAACTATCTTGTCATTTTATTATTGAATGAAAAATTCTCACAAATAGACAACAAAACAAAAATAAAAAATAAAATGAAACAAAGTACCTGGATAGTCTGGATCTGGTACTAAAGAAAACCTCTGGATAACATCTTGCATAAGTTTTAAACCTGTAATACGAAGTCGTTCACTATCCGATGTGGCAGACATAAAAGCCACACGAATTAAATCGGATAAGTACAGAATAAGCCAATCGGATTTCCCCGATTGAGAGCGTAGAATTCTAGCTTTAGCTAAATCGAAATGAGCGAGTGACTTTGAATTGATGATCAAATTATCAGTAGTACCATCACCATTGGCAGATATTTCCACAGACGGAAGAGAATTATTAACAAATATTGCATTACACAATTTGGCACAGCTAGATATCAGGATACGCAAACAGCTGATTGCGAAAATTCGTGTCGAACACCTGGAAGATAGTATAAATGGAATCATCTACATATTTTTATCAAAAAACATGATGAACACACAATACCAGAACTAGTCAATAGGATTTATGATCTATAATCAATTATATAATAGAATGATCGAGGAGAGCGAAGAGTTAGAGAAGTCGGCTTATTTACCCTAATAAATGTCATGCTAAGCTTTTTTAGTTAAAACAAACTCCTTTGCTTTAAAAATCTGTGACTGCCAAGAAATTAAGGGAATGTCTTTGTAGCGAGTTTAATGTATGGAATAAGAAAGATGAAAGAAATAGATAAAAAAACCTGCTATCTACGACAAGATAATTCGTCTTAATAATCAGTACACCTATCGGACATCAACTTGGAGTATGGAAATAGCTGGAATTAATGGACAGTGATTTCCACTTAGCGTGTTCATTCTATCCTCCTAGTTACGTCATTCAAATGTGGAGTTACTCAAAGTTAGTACTCAGTACTACTTGTTGGTCATTTGCCCTTAAATTAATTAGCTAGACTTTTTTTATATATACATAAGAATTAATCTTAGCTACAGTGTATCATGTTTTTGGAGGTCGCTGTTTTGTTCCATACTTCTTCTTTAATGTTATTATCGAAAGCATGACAGACAATTATTTGTTTCTAACTTTCATATTATTTGTAAATTCAGCTTGTTTGAATTTACCAGAAAAGCTTTAATCACCATGAATTCACTGATATGCCACATATACTGCAGAAACTATCCAACTGTATCACAAGGTAAGTGCTAAATTGGAATCTTTAAGACAAAAGGAAAAGACGTAGACCAAAGAACACATTGCGCCGAGAATTGGAGATAGACATCAAAGTAATGAATAGCTATTGGGAACCACTGGAAAGGAGAGCATAAAATAAGGTTGGTTGGAGAATCTTGGTCGGCAGTCTACAGTCCTTGAGGAGTATCAGGTGTAAGCAAGCAAGTAGTCCCTGCGACTTATCAGATGAATATAATTCCATTGTGGTAAACCTCTAATTTCAAAATAATCATAACATTGAATGTATTAGTTAAGAAACTACAGAAGTTATTGAACAAATAAGTAATGACCCAAAGACAACAGTTGTTTTAGGATTTAATGTCAAATCAAGAATCCCAGAGTATGAGATAACTGTTTTATCATAGCCTAAGACTCCAATGATGAGTAATGCTTATCATATGGTTTCTCGTACAATTAAAGACAAGATTTTGATATTTTGGTCAGTTCACAATCTAGTGTGACCATTACTCAATATCGTCATCAGTGACTAACTAATCCATATAAAACTGAGTTCACTATAAAGATCATGAATTCTCACTATGACTTTAGAAAAATTGATCAGATCAATCAATCCACACTGACTGAAGTACAAATTATAAAAGAATGGTTAAACATATATACCACCAGTATGTCTATCAATTTGTTTTCAATTGAAGTCAGCTAACGATATGATTAATAGCCAAATGTATAAATTTGAATATAAATTATATATTAACTACAACTTTGTATCACATGAGTTAAGCATTGATTATGCATTCTACATACCATTTTTATTATTCTTTAATATATACATAAATTACAGATAAACAAACATACACTAATGGAAAAAAAAGACAAACAAAAATACCGAATCAAGCATAGTAAAAATTAAAGAACTAACTAGCAAAGAAATACAAACCTGGCCACAATTTTTACACTGAATAACTGATTAATTTCTTGATTAGACTGTTTTGGTTTGAAATTGATATCAACATCTTCATATTCATTGTCTTCTGGTTCAACAGCCTCGCTACCATTTTCTTCACCTATACGACTATTTCGTTTCGACATAGTCACTATGTCTATATCATTATTATTATGAACAGAAGACAGTTTATCACTTCCAGTTGAGTTTGATTCATTGGTATTCAATGATTTTTGTGCAGAATTGTTTAAAGCAATACTACTATTACTGGTTACATCAGTTTTGAGTGAGGTAGAAACCTTTGAAAATGAATAAATAAATGCGTATAGACACATTTTAATAGGTATGTTTAGGTTAAATAGCCTTGATTATTGTTATGTAAAATAAAATAAAGTCAAAATTGGAATTTAATTTAATTTAATTAACTAATGTTGTTAATAAACAGTAATGAAAACAAAAAAAACCACAGTTCAACTGCTGCATTGCAGAACTCCATTCCAATAAAAAATGTACGCGATCTAGAGACATCTAACAAAGTTAATTTATCTTTAAAATAATCAGATATTAGTCTGTTTTAACATAGTTAATGAGCTTCTTCTTTTTAAAAGAAACTTCAATTAAATCATGTATACGCCTAATGTACACGCAGTATCATTCAATCGTAGTACTGATATCGATATAACTTTAATTAAGGTATGAAATTTCCAACCCATAAGTAGAATGATCAAGTAAACGTTTGTGAGTGTTACACATAGAAAAAAGAGCACTGATTATTCTCAAGTGATTGTGTTGAATGACATATAGGAAATCCGTAAAAAAAACAAGATCTGATCACAATTTACAGAATAGTTGATATAAGGCAACAAATAATCATTGGTTATTCAATCTTTCGAAAAACGTGAATTGAAATCACTGTATCAAGAGCTTCATATTTCTTTACTTTATTTTGAATAATGATCAGTTATCGTTCTGCAGTGAAATGTGTATATATGATTTAAAACTTCTGACTAAGTACATAATGTTAGCGAGCTATATCGCTAAAGATTAGGTAGTAGTTATAAAATTAATAAAAGGTATTCGATCATATTATATATAGGTAACCGATAAATGCAAAATGACAGTAGTGTGAATTCGTCTCACCTCAAAAAAGAGGACTAATCGATAATGACTATGAAACCGCAAACAAAAACACACCATTATTCTTTCCATTAGTATTATCGTCCTTGTTTTTGCTTGATTTGAATTTTCAGTTCATACTATACTGCCATATAGGATTATGGGAAGGAATTTGTGTTGTTTCAGCGACAGTAGGAGAATGATGCTGTGGTATAAGCTTTACCTATTATACAAGATTGATCTATTCACTAAGATGATAATAAGTCCTTAATATTTACCTATCTATATAAAACCACTTAAATGATATGTCGGAAATAAATTGCTTTATTTAAACATAATGAAAATATTCTCAATATAAAACCATCTTGGCATTGAATCGATAAATAGTTATTAGTGTTATTAAGAAATAAAATAATGAAATATTATGTGCATGGGTAATTTATGTTATTACAAAAAATCACTTCAGAATTAAATTTGATGCTGAACAAATCTGTGAAGAATATGTTATGTAGAGTTTTCGCATAGAAATATACTATCAAGAAACTAACAAGAGTAAATTAAAGTGAAAACAGCAAACAGATGCTCTATATCAAGTCAATTAGTTAAAATCAATGTACTTTCCGGTAAATATTATGCGTTAACCTAAGTTCATATTAACCTAACAAGATGAAAGTAATAAAATAAAAAATAGCGAAGGAGTTGAAATATAATCCATTTGTGAGGAGAATGAGAAAGATTAAATGCTGAAAATTTGATTGAAAAAAACAGAATATAAAAAAGGTAGGTATTAAGAAATACTCGAGCTCAATATTCCGAATAAGATCAAAAGTAAGTGTATATGTTATTGTAATTGATTCTAAGAAATACCATTCAATATTTTCAGTAACTGACCCAACTAATCATGCAAACCATCAAACTAAGTAGTCTGAATCTACCAAGATGATTCAGATGAAGATGTTTGTATGATGTGCACAAAATTACCATAAATTTTTATCACAGGAAAATACCGAATCAATTCACAAAAACACCAAATACTATCAACTTCTGAGTTATATGAACGAATTGCTTTCTAAATCCATCAATTGTTTAGAATTGAAATTCTCAGACAACTAATTATTATGAAATGGAAAGAAAGACGATATTTTAATTTGCTAACTTATTGTAATTAATTATATTTACCATAAATATAAATTTACCCTCAATAGGCAGGGATAGTTTTACACAGGTTTTCAGGATAACCACACACTGTCCAGGTGTTAACACTACAACCTGAACAGTACAGTCCAATCCTGTGGCGCAACCACACAGATACATGACACCCTGAAGGACCCATTCACCCTATTTATATACACTAATACGTATAGTGATCATTTTAGATCCATGATCGCGTCAATCGGTATGCACTTCTTACATGACTGTCAAACTCATTATTATTAGCAATAGTAATAAGCATTACAGCGTCCCAATGACAACAGCACTTTGGAATGTTGTAAGTCAACTATCAGTAGCAATGAAGTCGGTTACCCTGCAAACCTAATTTGTATATGGGAAAATAGCAACACTTTTCAAAGTAACGCCAACCCATTCGCAGTGTTCAAGGATGAACCTCTGGTCTCATAGGAAACCTTCGGCTCTATAAAGCAATATATGGTTAACTGAATTCAGTAAATAAAACAAAAGTAATATAACCAACACTATATTTCAATTGCGAATTTCGCTAATGTTTGATATATGAAATTTTCGAAAACAGCTATTACTAATTTGTCAAAATTCAATTAAATAAATATGCTTTATTCAACTTTAAAGATCTTTCAAAAGCGTTTTAATTTATTTCATTCAACAAATTCAAACTAAATTCTACCACTACAAAGTTGAACAACCACAATGCAGTAAATTGATAGTTGACAGTTGTTGTTTTTTTCATGAGGTGGGAAAGGGTAAAAACAGTTGATTCATGGATGATTTTAAATAGTTCGTCATAATTAATATTGAGTGATTTTGAACCCTATTTTACTTTAATCAGTTAATAGTTATCATCTTGGGAAATAATGATTGCAACACTCGGTTTCTAATCGTTTAACTAGAGGTTTGGATTCTACTCTGTTTAATCAGACTCGTTCATGAGTAGCTTTAAATACACGTGGCAACAACACAGAATGCATAAATGTGCAATAACGATATGTCACTGATATACAACTTTGTGCCTACTGGTGTAAATGTGTTTGCAAGAGAAAGATTCTTTGTTTTGAGAAAATGTGGCAATTATGCAAATATTTATGATCAGTAACAATATGTTGTTTCATGGAAAAAAGTTAACTGGATTATCTTCTGGTAAGAAAATCGATAACTTCCATTCACGAAGAATTACATTTTTATTTGAAAGTTCTTAACGAGTTACGATGCTTAACAAATTCAATTTTTTTTTCCAATTTAGATTACGAGAAAAATTCCAAATTCATTTTCTAGACTTAATTCATTCAAGTATAAAAAATTCAGGAAAGAAATAAACTAACAACAAATACATTGTAGATACTCAGTTGAGATGCGCCATTTTGAGTGGAAGCCGATCGATAATCAGATGAAAAAAGAGAAGCAATAAGAAATTTGAATAAAAAAATTATTTCCACTCTATAGTAGTCAATTATCTGTCTACAATGAATTGGAACTAGGAAGAGTAGTGAATAAAGAAAAAAACCATGTGATAAGTTGGCTGGTTGGCCAAATTTTATAGGCTACATTAAAATTAAATGATATTGAATAGGAGTAGTGTAATCAGTTAATGACTACATTTACATCTGTTTTTATCTAGAATAGGCTTCGAGAGGATTTCTCATGTGAACGAACATCAAGTTGCATGATGTATTATTCATCATACAATACTAGTGAAGAGTCCTGAACTCGGAAAAGAAATGACAAAAATATTATATTTAACCTAACATTGAAATATTCAATTAGTAACTTAAGAATAATGGTAATATAAGAAGGAATACCACAATTCCTACATTTTCGTTAACAAATTGTAGTTTTGGCATTAAAATAAGCCGCTAATAATTTAAATTTTATGATCATTACACTGAAATCTGCTGTCCTCTGATTGGTCACTTTCGTTTTTGTTTTGATATTTAAAGTTGCCAAGTTTAACGCTATCACTATATCAACAGATTTGTTGTACTGCGTTTTTTAAAAAAACACCTGGGAATAAACAAACTTTCTTGTTAAGACCCAACTCCCCTTCAGTTGTGGCCGAATTATTGTTATTATACACAAAGCAGCATTAGCAGTGATAAAAAATGAACAAATAATGGATTTTGTTAGACACTTAAATCAGAAAAGAGGAAAAATACTTAAAATGAATAATATCGTTCATTTACATCTCATCAACCGGGGAAAAGTTGTGCGATTCAGTTTTATTGTTCACATGACACCGTTGAATCATCGTACAAGTCTAAGCAAATAATTTGGAAAAGTTTATCAAAACACTCGTCATCTTTGCATCATATATAAGTCAAATTTTATTGACAGTGAAAACAATCGATTTAGTTACGGGACAAAGTGAGGACTTTCAGAAAGTCAAATTCGGAAAAAATACACGTATTAACTAATTGATTAAAATTTCTCGCCTTAATACAAGTTATTCGGATTGGTAATACACGAAATGTCAACTGAAGTAAAAGAGTACAAGTAAATAATTGTATCTCAATATAAAGATATATATGTATAAGGATCTATGAAGTTGACATGGAAAATTACAAAACACCCCCCCCCCAAAAAAAACAAGTCAATAACAAATTCATAACTATCATTGATAAACAGAGAATGTGATTAACAGGAACGCTAACACGATGAAATTAAAAAATTAGATAAAGAGGTGATCAACCGATATGTTGAGTTATATAAATAGATAACTAAACGATCATACATTGTTGTAGTTCAGACTAGACAACCAATTCTATACACCATGCAGTTGATATCATCCACAAATGATGGTATATAAAGTCAATGTTCAATATGAATAAAATTCATACATTTCATTAAATTAGGTGAAGCCGACAGAAAAAAGATATACTTTTGAAACTCGGTGAGTCAACCAACCTAAAGAAGATCAAAACAACCATAGCTTTGCATTGTATTATGTTCAATTTGCTGAAGATTGCAATAAAAATTAAATAAATATACTGATTGAAAGATTAACTCATTCGAAGATTTACCTGTAATACTTCTTTTAATAATGTAAACCAATATGAAAGTTGTGAGGTACCAGTTGCATGTAACATTCCAATTAGTGTATCTTCAATGTCTCGACGTAAGTGATAGTCCATTTCAACATCAAGTAACCTAAACAATTGCATTTCTAATTTTGTAGTAGGTGTAGTTGATTTTGAATGATTATTTATATCATTTTTATTGGAAGTAGTTGACAATAATGAAGAGAGAACAGGAGAAAATTTCTCTTCCAATGAAGCGTCCATTGACATACATCCATACAAATCTGCAGCCTCTTTTTGACTTAATTGTCTTAAGCATGATAATGCTGCACGTCTTAAGACCAAATGAAAACTAGACACATTGTTCTAAAGTATTGAAGAAGAAAAAAAAAGAATAAAACGGCATATTACACATCAGTCTGTAAATAAATGATTTTTTTTATAAGGAATATCAAATGGAACTTAATGCACAGATATTGGCAGTGCGGATATCATGTAGTTTTCGAAGAAAATAATGTTAGGTGAAAGTTATCGTAGGAAATCTCCAATTTAAAGTAAGTCAAGTTAAAGTTCAGGAGAGCAAAAATCAACGCAGAAACCAAGTGTTCTAAGAGAATATTTTTTCTAATACTTTTTTTATTGGTAGTTTGAACCTTTTCATCAATAGTTAAGACTCAAATGGATCAGTCTCTTAGGTAAATGTGCGTCCTGAGAGCATTGCCTTGATATAGCCGTTTGGTCACAAGCATTATAAACAGAGACGGATAGTGGCTAGCAGTGGAATATATGACTTGCGTTTTGTTCAGTTTGCGACTCCTCAGACAGATGTATTTGTACCCCAGAGTTGATGTCCACTCCGGGACTCAAGCCCAGTACCATTCGCTTCAAACGCCATCGCGATATCTACTTAGCTACTTATTCCACAAAAGCTACTGGTTTATGCAATGGAGTAAAGTGTAATTCATTTGTTTTGTTAGCTTGGATTTCCCTATTTATGTTTTTTTTTTATTTAGCACGTGTTCGGTTTGCAACCGTTATCCAATATCACATGATATAAACAAAACACCAGGCAAGATACGACTACGCATTATTAACCTCTAGTTAACAGCTAAGTTCTTATTGATTCGAAATTCTCTCCCAGTCCATAAACAACTTCCACTAATCAAATCGTATAATATATTTCAAACGTACGTAGTTTGTATACAGGCATACTTAACCGAATCATATTCATAAATCGAGAGTAACAGTTATGCATGAACAAGCCAAAAATGGCTGTGAATAGAAGAGACTGTCAATAATAAACAAGCAACAGATTAAGAATAATAAATCATACAACAATAGTTACTGAGTTGATCAAGAGCTCAAGAATACAAAGAATATACATAAATAAAAATCTAGTCACTCAGTAATTATACGATAACAATATTTAAAATAATAGTCCATAAATTAAACCTGAGAGTTATTATTTCTTGAATTTCCGTGTTGATGTAACAGTATAGTACTTCGTACAGAAATTAAAATCAACCAAATATTATTAAACTGCTCTATGGATAGGTAATGTTACAAACTAGGCCAACAATTCAACGTGATCAGATCAATCCTGTATTGTGTTTTATTTTATTCGTATTTATATACAGACTTTTACTGAAATATACACTTACTACATAGTATATAATTGGCTACTCCACTAAGCCTATTTCAAAAACGCCCTCAAGCAAAGTATTATTAATTCAACTAGTAATGACAATGATAATCAGGTTGTAAAAAAAGTAAAATCTTCACCATTTTAAGTTCACAACATATTTTTTTAACTTATTTTCTTTACAATATCTAGTTAGAATCACTCAAGTGTATCATGTATATTATTTGCTTAAAGAGAGAAACATCCAATTTGTTTCGTATTGTTCACTTCTAGATAGTTAGATTCGCTTCATTACACATCACTTAACAATAATAATAACGTATACACACAAGTTAAACTAGCAATCTATTCACAATGAAATGTTAACAAATTGTTATGAAGATATATAAAACTAATTAATTCTCTCAAATAACAACTCTGAATTATCACCATCAGGTTTTAATCATGAATATATTGAATTAAAATAAAACATAAGAAAAATTGTGTAAAACTAAGAACAGAACAAAATAATATCGAACAAATTATACCACAAGAAGAAGAAGTAGAAGCAAAACTCTAACCTGTAATTCAGGAACTAGACCGGTTAATTTAACATGCATTGGAGCAAACATATGTAATTGTTGTAAACAGGCTATACCTTCAGCTTGTAGTAGAGCATCCGATGAATCACGCATAATCATACAACATAATAAACATGAATGTCGAACAGATGTTATACTATCGCTTGTACCTAAATATTAATTAAAGTTTGGTAAAAGATAAAATAAAAGGTATCATTTAATCAAAAGTAAAGTATGTAGTACTACTACAATAAAAGACAAAATAATTAACCAAAAGAAAAGATGTATAAAACTTATCATTTTTAAATGGAACTGTTTGATGTGAACACAAAAGTTGACTCTTTTTTTTCATGCAATGTATAATTATGAAATATATATTTATGGATGTGATTTTTGTTAAAACTCGATTAAAAATGGTTATGGTTTCGATCGACTCCTTTGTTTTACAACACGAAATTCTTCCTATGATGATGATAATGAAATTTTGCATAAATCAACTTTACTGAAATAAAATGATTCACTAATCAATGTAGACACAAATATAGACATAAATATTTTGAAATTAAGATTAAGATTTTGTTATAACTGAACTATTTTATTTTATGAGAAATGGACAACCGTGTAATTAAGATAGCGCGATTGATTGACAATTATGAACAGTGAAATAATAAACATTGTGCATCGATTTTAATTTATTAAAATTACAGAACTAAATTGAAGAATAAGCATGCAGTTACCGTATTAGTGAAACACTGTACAATACCTCACCCTAGAACATATCAATAAGGTGAGGAACATATGTAAGACAGAAGAATGCCTTAACAAAATGAAAATGCAGCCTACTTATTGATAGTACTTGTTATTTTAGAAAATAACATGTTATTCAATGATCATTGTTTCTTTAACAAATAGCTTCATAATAAGTATTTATGAATATTCAGTCTATAAGTTTTACACATATTTTCTTAATAAAATTACATGATAAATTGTGCAATACAGACAAAAATAACTCACCACGTAATTCAGGTCCTAAAGTAGTAATCAAAGCAGCAAATAAACGACCAAGACTTCTGTGAATTTCATGCATAGCACCTGGTGATTTTAATAATAGCTGAAGTACTAAATTTAAACTTGGTTCAACATATTCTCTAAATAATGGACCACCTGAGTCTGCAACTAATGCAAGAGCATGTAACGCCCAAACTTGTACTTCAGGTACACTAGAATCTTGTGCAATAGCTAATAATACACCAACACTTGAACTTAAATGTTGTCCAGACGCTAAACCTCCAACATAACGGTGTAAACAACCAATAGCTAAACAATGACCAGCTCTTGAAATCGGATTGCGAATAGCACGTAAACGTTCAAAAATTTGCTGAGCTAATTCTGCTAAAAAGCCAGATTCACTAACAACTTGTGCAAGCCTTCCAAGACATTCACCAGCAACACAACGTAGTATAACACTTGGACTTGTTAAAGTAGCCTAAATATAAGAGGAAAGTAAGTTTACAGAAAGAGTAACGAAATCAGGTGGATGTTTAAAAAATAGGAAGATTTAGAAACACACGCGCGCTTAAACAAATATTTTTCTGTTAAACAACCAAACTGAAATCAAAGGTGTAATTCAAACAGTGCTCAAAACTGTTAAGTTTCAAAACAAATCGGATTTTCTCTGTACATATTATAAAATGCATAAATGAACATTATTATTATTATTATTATTATTATTATTATTATTATTATTACCTTAGAGTCATTGATGATGATACAAAATCTGTCGACGAATAAAATTTGGCAGTGTCAATATGTTGTTTTCTCAGCACGATAATGGTGGCAGGAGTGTTGTCAGCTTCTGTTGATCCTCTCTTCATTAAGCAGTCAGTCATAATCACTAAGTCTGAACTTTTCAATAGAAGTCATGTCAATGTTGTTAGATAAATTAACAGATAGTAATTTAACTTTAGGCAAATTAATACCTGAGTGTAGTACTCTAACAGATATTGAGAGATTTGTGATACATTTATAATCGATTGAGATATTTAGGCTAAACGAATCAAAGACTTACTTATAACTTAGTAACAAAACTCAAGTCATTCACTCTAATACTTTGAATGATCCTATCAGTACAATTCGAATAAACAATATTTATCTTATGAACAAATAAATATAACATGTGAATAGCCAAACTAAAGTCAGTAAAGTTAACGTCGAAGACTTGGGATGCAGTTCCACATTCGAAATAGAAATGTGCAGGAGTAGGACTTTGTCCAGTTCATAGTGAAAATAGAAATTTGTTTACAGAAATTTAACCAGAGCGCGTTTGTCTTTTGATGCAAACATATTTAAAAAAAGAGCATACGGCCTATTTCTAGCATTCAACTGAGAGAACACTTGGACTGAATAAAACTTATGTCCTATTTAGAGACAAACATTACTGTTAAGCATGACAGCTATGACAACAGCTTTGCCCTTATGTTTAGACAATGCTCTCTATGACCACATCTATCAGTTTATATTGTGTCTGGCTTGGCACTATCGTTATTCGATTGATATACATTGAAATCAATTCTGACAAATTTTTATATCACAACGAACAGGACAAATTTTACATGAAATCAAAATTAATGACATATTTTCTAACCAGTTGGAATGCACTGTACAAGCAAACATATGATTGTCCACATGTCTCATGTCATTTTTCATGTTAATTTTAAAAAGAGAAACTGAGGCACAAGGAAAATTTTTCGGCTAATTTACTCCTAAATTGCCTAAACGATCGATAGTAAAGAGCATGAGGGATATGTCTGTATGTATATCCTATGGATGTTTGTCATTTGAGAAAGGCAGATCAACCTAATTGGAGAGTACATATGCATGATTACCACAAATTCCTATATGATGCACTAGCAAAATACACTTACGAAACAATTTATGATTACGTATTTTGTTTCTTATCTAGTCTACAAAAACTTGAGCATATTGAAATTGCATATACTGGTTAGGCTGTAGGTTCAAATGTTTCATGCAATTTCAGTCGAAGGCTACACTTATTTTATATCTCATTCTACTGATAATTCCTGTTCATTTTTCGGTTTAACATAAATTATCTACAGCTTATAACAGAAGCAGTCCAATAAAACAAACGAAAGTAAGCAAGAAAAAATAAAAGGTGAAGCAAAATACTTAAGTTAAACAGAATTCAACGAAGTTGGATGTTTCGTATTTTTTCTATGGAACAGTTTGTTTCAAACACAAATCAGTAATCAATATACAAATGACTATAATCAGATTTGAGTCATTTTTAGGCGTCCGTGTTGCATATCTTACTTGGCTAATCAAATCCAATTGTTTCTCTCAAATCTTGAGCTCATAAGTTTGTTTCTTTTCTAATCATCGGTTAGTATCGTCTCACGGACCCCAACCAGGTTGGTAAATGTTGGGATCCGCGAGACGATACTATCCGATGATTACAGACCCTGAACGCCAATGGCTCAGAATCGTTTGCAATGGCGCAGGTGTATCCATTCTTTGTGTTCTATCAAATTCTAATCCTTTGAATTCCTTATCACTTCTATCTTTCTCTTTGAACTTATTTCACTGAATTATACATCTTGAATAATTTATTCGGATTGCGATCTTATCAATTACCGCTAATACTTCTACTATCTCTACCACCATGGGATCTGAACTGAAAGTTGTGTCTCTGTGTTGATGCGGTATGGCAACCTGAACTAATGTACGAACGTACCAAGTTCTACGTTGTGACTGACTGACTTTTTGAAGTATAATACTGTCTATGTTTAACCTTGACCTAAGTGATACTACTAGTATTTCGGCTCCTTCGTAGTTCACTTTTTTGATCATATCTAGCTGCCTTGAGGTGACTGTAACTGAGTGATCAGTTTGAGTTTACCAATGACACTTATTATAAACAACAAAGGGAAGTTTGAATTATTCATTTTATTTCTCTAAGTTTTGGAAATCAAATAAATCAATTCATTGCAATACACATACAAGGAAGTGAAACTGATACTTACTAAATTATATGCAAATTCTAAACTTTCGTCATACTACATGATCTGGATTTACTACTTTTTACTCCACCCACAAACACTAACCGCACTTGATTATCATTATGGAGGAATGAAAGAATGCAAGTGGAACATTAACGTTAACCACACCGATTCGTTAAATCTTCAATCATTAAAAGTTTAACAATATACTATGGAAAAAATATTTGACGTCTAATACTCAAAACAATATAGACAGTAGTTAGTGAAAAAAAAGAGGAAGGATTACATAATTGCAGGTATCAAAAAAAGTTGAAAAACGATAGGGAATTTATGGAAAGATAATAAGTTGAAAGATAAATGTCCACTTGAGGAGAATGAGAAAAGTAGAGAATAAATTAAAAACATAAAGATAATAATTACAAAGCAATAGAAAATTAAAACATTGCAGGGATGAATTGTTCACATAGCTCAGGTTTGAAAGGATTAATTACTAACGCTTATAAAGTGCACAAGTTACTGCTCTATTATTCTGCGTTAGAACGAATCGTTTAACTGTACAGATAATTTTGGAGGGTATATCAGTTGGGGACAGTTTGACCAGAATTAAAAACATGTGCTAATATTGAACTATATATATTTGAAAGCCATGCAGGATAATAATTGGAGATGTGATATGCTCGCTTTGTGCAGTTAATGTAACTTGCTACATCCAGGTTGGTTGAGAGAAACACGGTATTTAAACTACAACCAGCAAGACCTTCGACACTTATTACATAATCTCTCTATATGCATTGGGTCTGCATAAAATTTGAAAAATCCTCTAACGGAACCTTTAAGAAAATGTTCATATGCTGCTATAATGAGCAAATTAATTATTTACCTAACCAACACGTGAATAGTTATGACTAAGAATATTAACCAATTATTCAGGTAATCAATTGATAAAGCACTATTATAAAGTCTTTTTTTTAAATCTTCGATGTACTTGGTTTGGTGAGATGTTAGGAGGGTATATTTATAAAGAAAGTAAGTTGTAGATTAAATCAAACATTTCATGAGGAAGAAAATTATATCAATCAATACAAAAGAAAAGAAAAAACCTTAGCTAGAAACAAGAAAAAAACACCCTTAACCATAATGTGGGATAAAAAAACACACTGTAACCACACTTTTAAATTAAACCCAAAAAAAGATGAATGAAACCAGTAGGTTAATGAAATTTTCCATCAATAATTTAGCATGTGCATAAAAAACATCACCAAGAGAAATGAATGTTTAATTGTAAATTTTAGTTTGGTTAGCGAGTTGATTGTAAATGTAATGTGAATTAACCAACATCATTGTCAGTATTATCATGATGAATGCCATCATCAGTGCTGTATAAACACACACACACACACACACATGTATACACCACTTACATCATAAACAATACTTCTTTGTAATCCGTTCATTAATGAAGAATTTTGAGCACAAGAATCTCCGCATAATCTAGACTAAAAAAATTTCCTAAATAATTTATTTTTTCTCTGAAAAGAAACAAATTTTTACGACTTATGCATTCATACACACACATACGATACATAGATACAGATAAAATTCCATATGATTTATATCCCAATCACAATTATGTTTAGGAAAAAAAGATAGATATCATTTAAACTATTTGGTAAGATAATATAATAGCTACTAATCTTAATTATTCAGGAATAATCAAGGTTGTAATGTTCTTTTTAAGTGTAATTCATTCACAAAACGTAGTTTCGTATATTTCATTTTCTGCAACAGAAAAGTAGTGCAACTGACTAGTGCGGTTTCGAGTGAATTGGAGTAGAGTGTGAACCAGGGATGATCATCAAAGTGACAGGACAACTATCAAAAATTAGATTATATAATAACAATTAAGTCATCCCTTAAACACATTGCAGATTGTGAATGACGGTTAAATAATGTAGGAAGCAGGTTTGAACTAAAATTGTCATTTTACAAATTGATCAAGAGATTTCTACTGAGACAAGGAAAAAACATTATCTATGTGAAGTTATCAATTTGACTGCTCTTGTGAAAGTAAGTCGATCACCGTATTACACAACATTATCCTGTTTGGTTAAGTTAAAAATAAATAAGTCTATTAAGTGCTTTAAACTGACTCACTTAATTGACACATCATATTAAGTGGGTATAGACAACGCATCATAAATCACCCAATAGATCTCACGCTATCTGATGCATAACATATGTATACGTTTTTTAAATATAGCAGAAGTCATCGGTATCTATTTCCATAAGAAATTTGTACAACCGTTTTCTTCATCTTGGCGATCATAATAGACAACATTTAAGTGAATCCATAAATGATTTATTCCATGATCCCTTCTTTGCACTTGGTTTCTTAGCATAATGTTTTAGTTCTTCTGCACATAGTATTCATACGTAGACCTTGAAGGCTATTATCGTAATAAATCTATTGTATCAAGTTTTAAAATACTTAAAATATATTTATTCAGAATTTTATTATTCGTAGCACTATTAGTACACTTTGAATTTTTATGTTGGTTTGTACTTTCTTTTTATTTATGATGATTCATCGGTTTCATTGCTGTCATTAACACTGATAAGTTAGACAATCGGTTTAGTATATTTGTATAAATATTAAAGTATATTAAGGTATAGTTTGATAAAGATCTAGCATTTATTCACTTGTAAGTTTTATTTTAAACAGAAATGAAACAAGTAAACATCACTGAACATACAATACTTTAAATAAACCTTTAACCATATGGTCAATCAGACGTGAAGTTTTACAATAGGTGCTGCTATCTACTTAGTGTAAACAGATTTTAAAAAAGCCTAATGCTATTCAATGGGAATGGGAATTTTCAACAATTAGGTAATGACCTGCGTAACATAAAGCTAGTATAACAAATAAATAGGGATGTTTCAGAGAAAAGGATTTCGATAAAACTAAATAATCGTACAATAAAGGGAAAAAAAATTTTCTGGATACTCAAACATTTCAACCATCCACATACACACATATAGAAACACCGATATAGGCTTTGTAAAATATTCTAATAAGTTGAACAAAGCAACACTGATATCATCACACTATCTTTGTTTATTTCATTATTTATTTCCTCGTTCATTAGTTTCAACTACTGTACTTGCTTTTTGGGCAGAATCAGAAACAAAATGATCTCAGAATGCTATTTCAGACAATGGAACAGGGCATAGTTATTTAGTGTTAGTATAGGACTTCACAAAAGTGATAACTTCCATTTACATATTAAACCGATCTCCGCTAAACTCATTCATCAGTACTACTTAGACTTGCTGCCAAATCGTAATGTTCATCTAATCGTTTACAGGCTAGTTTTATTTGTTTAAATTGCTCATAAACAATACTTATATAGTTAATGACATAGTAAAGTTTTGCTCAAGTTTATAAATATCTCAATGTTACTTTAAAAATGTTTTCTATACTGGTTGTTATTTTTTATGTTCAGCTATAAATTGATTTATTAGTCGAAATAAATGGCCAACTTAATTACGAATATAATCTCAATAAAAGCTTAGTTTTTGTATTACATAACTATTGTGTTGTATTTTTGTTTTCCGAGAATGATATTTTCATTTTAGACCAATGAGAGTACCATATGCAGACAATCCATTTACATTGCGAATCATTTAGCCTATAGTTAACCGGACGTAGGGCTACACACCTATAGATTTCGTCAATCGTTCAAAAAAAGAATAATTGGTGAAAATCACAAGTATTAGAAAATAATAATAATAATGATAATTTTTATTACTCTAATTTAGAAATCGATAGTTATGATAAGCGTTTTTCTGAGTGAAAATAAACAAAAATGCACATTTAGACTATTTTTATTTCTTCATACAGTTAAAATTGATAATAGTAAAAGAAAAGGGCAAAAATACCCAGATAACATTGATTTCGATAATGAACTAAGTTAACAAGTCAATTTGTTGATAAATAATTTTAGTATATAAAAGCATGTGATGAGAAAAATTTCGAATCTAAAAATAGAGCACCGTTTTTTGCTTCACAAATTTCCGGTGCTGGTGGTATGCATTGAAAAGTTGATACAACATGACCTACTACTCATAAAAATTTATGAATAACCTACTTCAAGTAATTGTCTGTAAGCTATGAGGTTAAGCCATTGGATAGATAAAACGTTCGACATGTACCATTTAGTTTTCAGGCTTTCAAGAAGGAATAAACTTTAACGATATAAGCAACTGAGATGTTTTAATTACCACAACACTTCCAATAACACAAATGATACAGGCTGATGTAGGGTATGAAAAACAAACCAGTAGAATTCAGGAGAATCATTAGGAGTCATTTAGCATGTATAGTCCTATCAAAAGGCACTCAAATTCTGAAATAAATGCTTATACAGTATATAAAGTGTAAACCATACAAGATCAAAGAAACACTTACAAAAATTAAGCTTGTAGCAGCTTTTCTTAACGCTGGATCATCACCGAATGTAGATTTTGTTTCAGCTAAATGTCGTAATGCACTTAATAAAGCAGCAAACACATTAATTTGTACAGCTTCTTGACGTACAGACTTTGTAAGACGAATACATTCAGTAAAATGTTCTAACATTTGTGTACGATGACGGATAGAAACACAAGCAAATAAACGACCAAACAATTCAATTGATGCATCTATGACAGCAACACTAACAGGCATAGATCCAGTTAATTGTAATGCACAAGAAAGTGTAGAATTGGCAAAATTTCCAAGATTATGACCACGTGATAAATGATTAATATTAGTGTTTGAGGTAGAGTTAATATTGTAAAATTTAGGAGTAGTAAAAATACCATTATTATTCAATAATATATCTGATGGACCATGAAACAGTGTTCCAGCTGTTAATGATAGATTTTCATTATTCTCATCATCAGTATTTAACAAATTTGTCAAAGTCACATCAGTTACCTGAAAAAGTGATGAATAAAGAAAGTATATTTACACAAGGACAAATGTCAATCTACTAATATATATATATAGAGAGAGAGTGAAGATAAAACACGTGAGAAAACAGGATGTATGTGAAATTTAACAAGTAGTTCAGAGTTAAGTTAGACACGAAACAGTTTACTTGATTATTACAATTGCACGAGGTAATAATAATATGTCAGGATACTTAGTGATTTATCGAGCAGCTTTAATTAAGTGAATAGACTTGTTTAGTGTTACTACAGGATCATAAGTCATGATATTGGTTATTGATTTCTTTCATAGTAATAAGTATGAAAGAAGATGTTTATATTTGAACTGGTGAATCTTAACTCTAACGAAAATAGTCGTTTGGTTAATGCGATTAAGGGTTCAATATAATGTCAATATTATGTTACTGTTCAACATCATTTATTAGTGATTGTTAAAAGCCAAATATGAAATGGTTCAATATTACTAGTAATGGAATATAAAAGCAATTTATTAAATCAGAGAACATACTGTTAACCCTGCGTTTTGTTAAAAAGAGACAGCCGTTGTATATGATAGATTTGAGCGGCAAAACGCAAGTATTTGCTTAATTTTAAAGTTAGTTATAAAACCTTAGGTAAGAAAACTGCGTAGCTACTTCGCTTGAAGGAGATAACATACACGCTACTCTTGTCAATTTCGAAAAGACAATAAGTAATAATTGATCAAGCGAAGACAATGACAACTCATAGTTATAAATACACTTTTTAATGACTGGTGTTTCAGGGAGATCGAATATCTGTGGCTGCAGTTTTCAGATGATATAGTTCGAAATCTATTGGAATAACAGAAATATGTCGATTCTCATTATCTTGTTTAACAGATTATTATCGTACAATAACTGCACTAGTCCAACTTATTCATTTTGGGGGTTTTTTAATATGGTCTAGTGGATTTGAAATGTAAAATTATACAAATAAAAAGATATTAATTAAAAGCAATATTGTCAAGGTACTAATATCTTCCAAAACAATAAACAGAAAAGGGCGTAACATAATCAAACTTCATTGAATCATTACCTGCTTACAAATTCAAACGAGACACATGTGTTCGGAAGGAGAAATCTGCTAATTTATCACTAACCAAAGTAAATTGATATTTGCTTATTACATACTCAGCAACTGTTACTACTACAACTACTACCAGTATTGTTACGTAATCTTCACTTGTCCCACAGTTATTTCATTCGTTGTAAAATTAACTTTTTACTCATTGCGTGATTTTCACTGACCCAGTTGGTGTAACTTAGGTTAAACTCTAAGCACTTTCTGCAATTATTGAGCAACCCATTTTATTAATTTTCCAGTCCTAGATAACTGCTGTATATTCATCAACGAATATTTTTATCTCTCTCTCTCTCTCTCTCTCTCTCTATATATATATATATATATATATATATATATATATATGCATGTATATATACATCAACCTAGTCAAATCAATTTTCCGACTATGTTATGCAATACGAACTGAGTTGTAAATAAAGGCTTAGAATTATGCATGCTTTTGATTCAAGTACACACGAACGAACATATACTATTTGTGTGCAACTGTTCAAGTGTTTTGTTGATTTATTTGATATTTCACTTGTTAGGAAAATGTATTGAGAAAAACTATCATCAGTTTACTATTCAGTAATTCTAATAAATTCTGAAGAAAAAATCGACTTACCAGTAAATTATTTACACCATCATGTAAATATAAATAAGAAGGATCATGTTCTAATGCATTAGGTGAATTGTTTAATACGGTCGATTGTAACTGTATTAGAAAAGGAAAAAAAAATAAGTGCAAAATGACTGACTACAAGTACATAATCACCATTCAAATATGTATATATAGCGTTCAAGTATACACCGTAAATTCTACGAGATAGTTACATTGTGATTGGTGAACATTCTTATTAACACTACTCAGAAATTTCCTTTGGATTATATGGAAAAAAATAGTAGTCATTGAAGGAGCACTAGGTATGATTAGTTAACAATTTGAGATTTGGAGTTACTTATGGTTAAGAAGAAACAAACTTAAAAATTAAAACTGAATTGCTTGTCTAAAATGAATTTATGATGGAATTCAGAATTAAAACACACAGTAAACTATTGAGTTATTTATGAAATAGAAGGCTAGGAAAATATAGATCATGTATTTCAGTTTGATTTTTTTTATAAACGATATTAGAAAATTTATTTTGAACATACTAACAATGACATATCCAATCAATTTATATTTAGGCAACATAAAAAATATGTATATCACTGAGATTTTGATCAGTACCTAGAATAAATATATATTCCTAATAAATGTTTTAGTTACAATACTATGAATAATTGTGAATATATTTTCTGGAAGAAAACAAAGCCCATAGGTATTGTCTTTTAATGAAAATAACTAAAAATGGTTGTCATTTTATTTAGAAAAATAATACATTTTTGAAGCCAAACCCACTATGCAATTATATCTAATATACGATTATAAATAAAGAAAGAGAGAAGGCACTACTTACGAGAGGATGCAATTCACACTAATTATTTTTAATGCAACAATTTAAAAAGCCGTTTTTTGAAAGGAAAAAGGATGGTGATAAGAACAGTATAAGATCTTATTCTATCCAATAGTTCTGTCCAAAAAGCTCTTCTTCATTAATCCCTTTCAAAATTTGGTGATGACTGACGATAGTTTGTCAGATTCGTTACTGTCAAACTATGCATTTTCAGGGAGTAACCAATTTAGACTAACATAATACCGTTTTAGATTTTGGGTTCAGTGCCGTAATCTTTAATATCCTATATAAGTCCAAAACTATATAAAAACTGTTTAACAACGTAAATTCATCATAATATCACCATACTTTTGGATCTTTTTCTGCACACGTTGAGAACATAAATATATGCACTGACAGATCCAAGCAACATATTTTCAATTAGTTAATCGACTAGAGGTGTTATGATGATGTT